GCAGCCACAAGTCATGTGTATCTGCTACACATGATCTGCAGTAGGCAACCACAAGTCATGTTTATCTGCTACACGTCATCTGCAGAAGGCAACCACAAGTCATGTTTATCTGCTACACATGATCTGCAGTAGGCAGCCACAAGTCATGTGTATCTGCTACACATGATCTGCAGTAGGCAACCACAAGCCATGTGTATCTGCTACACATGATCTGCAGTAGACAACCACAAGTCATGTTTATCTGCTACACATGATCTGCAGAAGGCAACCACAAGTCATGTGTATCTGCTACACATGATCTGCAGAAGGCAACCACAAGTCATGTTTATCTGCTACACATGATCTGCAGTAGGCAACCACAAGTCATGTTTATCTGCTACACATGATCTGCAGTAGGCAACCACAAGTCATGTGTATCTGCTACACATGATCTGCAGTAGGCAACCACAAGTCATGTTTATCTGCTACACATGATCTGCAGTAGGCAACCACAAGTCATGTTTATCTGCTACACATGATCTGCAGTAGGCAACCACAAGCCATGTGTATCTGCTACACATGATCTGCAGAAGGCAACAACAAGTCATGTTTATCTGCTACACATGATCTGCAGAAGGCAACCACAAGTCATGTGTATCTGCTACACATGATCTGCAGTAGGCAACCACAAGCCATGTTTATCTGCTACACATGATCTGCAGTAGGCAACCACAAGTCATGTTTATCTGCTACACATGATCTGCAGTAGGCAACCACAAGTCATGTGTATCTGCTACACATGATCTGCAGTAGGCAACCACAAGTCATGTTTATCTGCTACACATGATCGGCAGTAGGCAACCACAAGTCATGTTTATCTGCTACACATGATCTGCAGAAGGCAACAACAAGTCATGTTTATCTGCTACACATGATCTGCAGTAGGCAACCACAAGCCATGTTTATCTGCTACATATGATCTGCAGTAGGCAACCACAAGTCATGTTTATCTGCTACACATGATCTGCAGTAGGCAACCACAAGTCATGTTTATCTGCTACACATGATCTGCAGTAGGCAACCACAAGTCATGTTTATCTGCTACACATGATCTGCAGTAGGCAACCACAAGTCATGTTTATCTGCTACACATGATCTGCAGAAGGCAACAACAAGTCATGTGTATCTGCTACACATGATCTGCAGTAGGCAACATGGGATCTGCAGAATTCAGAAACCATATACTTGTACAAACATTTTGGGTGGGTTTTACTTTCGTGAGTTGTGTGATGTAGGATTCCTTGGTTAATGTATCTGTCCAACTTGGGTTTCTTGGTCAGGTGATTGAATGTTTATCCATGAAAAGTTTAACAGTTCCATGAGATACATTTGGTACTGTTTATTTCATAAAAATATGCATGAGACATTCATATATATTCATAGTGTAAAAATCAACAACATACAAACGTACCTGATATCTAGATTGTCATTCTGACAATATCAAACAAATCTTTTCAACACACACGTCAGAAAACACTACACTACTTCTCAAACACTATGAAGTTCTATGACAGAATCGGTTATGATTCCCTGTCATGAATTTCATAGCATATTCATTAGAGTGACCCATGAAGATCTAGGTTAGAATAGGACTTCAGCAACCCATGCTTGTCGCAAAAGGCAACTATGCTTGTCATAAGGGGCGACTAACAGGATCGGGTGGTCCGGCTCGCTGACTTGGTTGATAATGCAGCACGAATGGCGAACTATAAATGATCAAGTCTGGACCAAACAATCCAGTGACTGACATCACAGGCATTGATCTACACAGTTCGGATACGATGACATGCATAAATCAGTGAGGCATGTGACCCCGTGGCCCTCTTAGTCGTCTCTTATGACAAGCATGGGTTGCAAAAGACCAACTCTCACCCGGATCTTCACAGGAATTTGTCTATTAAAATTGTGTTTGGTCTACTAAGCTCAACTACTAATATTGTATATCATAGCCAAATCTACTGAAAATGATATAGAGAGTCATGTTTGGGCTATAGTTGACTCAAATGTTTTAGGCATAGTCTGGATTGATAGGATGGGCAGTGATCCATGGTGTTAGATACTTGTACAATAAAAAGCCCACCTCTGATACAAAGGGATGGGGGTATACTGGGGACCTGTTCTAACCCGGAATCCCAGCAGGAATATAGCAGTAATGGTCTTTGGGACCTTTTCTAACAGGGAATTCCAACAGGAATATAGCACTAATGGTCTATTGGGACCTGTTCTAATCCAGAATCCCAATGGGAATTATATAGCACTGGTGAGTCAGTAAAACATCATTGGTTATACATACATGCATTGAGTATATAGAGGTATGGTTGAGACTCCTGAGAAACAACAGATGATAATCTATTAACTTATATTAGTTGGTTTACAAAATGATTGGTCCCAAACTCAAAGTGGGTCTATGGAAAGAAATATGAAAAGATTCAAATTTCAACCAAATTAACTTAATATAAAATAAGACAACAGGTCCAAATGAGGCAGGACATTGAGTTTTGTATTGGTATCAATGGTTTAATGCTAGTTTCCACAGATTCCTTCATCTTTGTACAGACCTGGACCCACTTGCACAACACGATCTTAGCGCTAAGATGATCGTAACTCCCATACTTTAACATAGGCTTACAATAGTCTTAGCACTAAGATCGCTTTGTGCAAGTGGGCCCAGGAACAGTTGCAGTGGACGTTGACATGATCCTGGTCAGGCTTTCCACTACAGACAGACTCTATAGTTTGTAAATGGTAGGTCTTGTCCCCTAAACTGCCATATACACATTATATCGCTTACATATTCCTGGGCAACACCCAGTTGTGAAACAGTTGTCCAAGGGCTTATTTTGCCAAATGACATTTAATTTTTTTCCAGTTTCATTTTCAAATATCAGATGGTTTGCTAACCGACAACTAATAAAACACAAAAAGGTATTGTACCATGAGTCAATTCCCTGCCTACAAACACCATCAGGATACTGGATGTAACACTTATAAATCTTGTACATATATATATATACAGATACAGAGCTACAGATAAGCAGCGTATTTGTGTAAAATACCCCCCCATAAATATTCAAAACCCAATTACTTTCAATTAACCTGCGTACAGAAACCCATGCATTAAATGAAAAACTCAAATGTATAAAAACAGCATGCGTAAATACGCATTAGAGTAAGTGAGTATGGTTTTACGCTGCTTTTAGCAATATTCCAGCAACATCACGGCGGGGGACACCAGAAATGGGCTTCACACATTGTACCCCTGTCGGGACTCGAACCCCGGTTTTTAGCGTGACCAGCGAACGTTTTAACAACTGGGCTACCCGACCGCCCCAATATGCATTAGAGCTTTTCCAGCATGCGTAAAAAGGAGCTAATTTCTGAAACACAATTATGAGCTCATTTACTTTCCGATTCAAGCTTATACATTTAGAACAGTTATAAAGATCTAAAATATTATTTAATTTTTTTAAATCTTAAAATGTTCACTAATTTTGGGGAAAACCCAATATAGTGATGAAAAGATGAGTGAAAAAATATTGGTTACCCAATGAAAAATGTAAGAACCCAATTAAAATAGAAACCCTCGAGTAAAAAGTCAATGGCTCAAAAAGTTATCAGAAGCTCTGTTGATATCACCTGTTAGTTATAAGATGCTCAGGCATGGCTTCCTAAACCATGCAAGATCAAAAAGGATTACATTCTGTACATCAAGCTCTGTCATCTTCTCTGAAACAACACCAAGAAGGACACTTGTTGCCATTGAAGACAGAGTTAACTTCATTTTCAGGGACTGGTCAGGGGTTGGGGTGTGGGGTGTGTGGTGTGTGGTGTGAGATTGGCCATATTTTGCCGACACCCATCATTTTATGAAACATTTTTACATGCCCCCCCCACCAAATACATGTAACAGTGAGTGAGTGAGTTGGGTTTAACAACGCTTTTAACAGTATTCCAGTTATATCACGGTGTGTCAGCTTAATGTGGGAGGAAAGCCCGAAGTGATGCAGGTCTCAGACGTTTACCACTTTGGTGAAACCCAGGAGTACGGGTATGGTGCTGACAAACCTAGAAACATAATCGGGGCGAACCAGGATTCGAACCCACAATCATAGGTTTTTGGCATGCCTAAGGGACGCAACTCTGCACAGCGAATCGCGGTGCCTTAGACGACTGGGCCACCCATGCCCCAATACATGTAACAGTTTTTCGTGACCCCCACTGAATCTCACTAGCACCCCCCTCCCCCCTATTTAAATGACCAGTCCCTAGAGTGTTTATTTTTTCAAGGTGATGTTTCAGGAGTACATGTACATAACATTAAAGTAAGCCCTGTCTTCACTGATACAACAGCTTCTGAAACGCCACTTAAAGATACTTGATACCATGCTCAGCATGATGTAAATCAATATAAAAATATTTCTGCTTATGGTCAATATATGCAGCCTGTAGTTGAAAAAGTTCAACACCTCTGTCTGTAAATAACGTTCCTTCACCTTCTGTACAAAAGACATCTTGTTACTTGTCTCACTGCTGGAGAGTGAGTAGCGAGTGCATGCTGGTGTAAGTGGTTGTCAGCAATATTCAAGCCATATCACAGCAACCTGTACATAAACAAGCTGTGACCAGGCATAACCGGTGATCAACACCTCTGTCTGTAAATAACGTTCCTTCACCTTCTGTACAAATGACATCTTGTTGCTTGTGTCTCACTGCTGGAGAGTGAGCAGCGAGTGCATGCTGGTGTAAGTGGTTGTCAGCAATATTCAAGCCATATCACAGCAACCTGTACATAAACAAGCTGTGACCAGGTACACTGGTGATCAACAGCATGAGCAGCAATCAGCCAGGTCACAGATTGATAACAATCAGCAGCTCTTAAAACAAACAAGGGTACTGGGGAGGTATTCTGGAATCCCAACAAGGCAGTTGACAGGTGAAGGGGCTGTTTTTTTGCAAACCTGAGACACCAAGCTTAATATGTTGATTGAAACTCCACTCCTGATGCATAAATATATATTTTTAACTTTCATTTAAGTAGTATTTCATTAAAATTCGAACTTTTTCATAAACCCCTAGGAATATTGCTCCCCCGATTGAAATCCAGGCGATCCGGGGAGCCATTCCTGCAAACAACCTGAAACAGACAACAAACGAGAGTCAGTGAGTATGTTCTTCCTCTGCTTTCAGCAATAATTTTCCCATTTCACTTCGAGGACACCAAAATGTACACGCCAAGTTTATAACCATTAAACTACCCCTGCCACAGGAAAGTTTAGAGTGAGTGCGTTTAGGATACTTGAACAGTATTGCAGTTATAATTAAGAATTGACCTTCAACTTGTGTGAGTTCATTGGAGTATGAACCTTCATAGAGTGAGGGCCAAACAGTATGAACGTCGGAGCTTGCGAGGATATTCGTGAACAATCATGCAGTCACGCTCTCTGACATTTCTCAATGTATACTGAAACGCTGAGACCAAGAATAAAGGTTCTAAATGATCAGAAAGAATGTTTTCGTGCTAGGGAATACCCAGGTGTTTCCCCAGGAATGTGGAAGTAGTCCGTCAGTGTTTATGTCATTTCAAGAACACGATCTCGTGAAAAACGTATTAACATCAAACTGTGTCGTTCATACACTTATGAACGTCAATTTCGCAGTCATGTGACCGACCTCTTGTCCAATGGAAAAGCTGTATATAATGTAAACTTCAAATTAAAAAAATTATCATGATTTGGGAGGAAAGCAGAGTTACCCTTTAACACCTCGCTCTGCATGTATAACTTTGAGGGCATGGCCAATACCTCCTCTGGCGACAGCACTGTCAGCCTGCAAAGCAAGCAGATCAACGTGCATTGGTGATATCAATGAGCATCTAGCTGATGACAGGAAGAGAGTTACTTTCCTTAGTTTAACAAATTACAAGTTTATTCAAGTGAGAGACATCTTTGTAACCCTCCTGGTATCATTGCTGCCACCAGTGTGAACCCAGCATGTACATGTGTTTGTGTGCATAGTCACATGTGCGTGCATGGGTGCATGTGTGCGTGTGTGCATGCGTGCGTGCGTGCGTGCGTGGGGTACTTCCCCATGCCAGCTTCCCAGTTGAGCATATTTAACATACAGGTACATTTGGATGTTATATAGCTTATCAACAAAGATATAAAACATAACTGCTGATGCAAGTTAACCAGGTATTTGCATTTATATGTATAACCCAAAACACACATTCTTGATCCTAGAAATCCTCCTGTATCTGCACTATAGTCTTGGTGTGTCTGTGGGATGGCATTACAGGGAATTGTGAAGATGTTCATGGACCAAATCAAATTTTCAACAGATGAAATTTTGTTTGTTTAATAAGATTGTTTTGAGATTGCTATGATTGCAGACTAACTGAAAAGCACCCAACTTCACCCATACATTGTCACCACACCAGAGACAGATCGACAAAAAAATAAAATGTCTTAAGCGAGACGAAAATATATATGGCAACACAAAACTCACAAGAGCATGGCAAACTATGTCTTCGATGAGTGTCTAGTCATTTCCTTCAAAGGCGTCTCTTTAGCAACAAGTTTTCATATATCACACTGTGCAACACATGTACCTTAGAGACTGGTAATTTATTACAGGGGGGCAGTGGGAGTGGTATTATGTCAGAATAATATTTTGCAACTTCATTTTTTCATGACACCCTCCAAATTTCACCGGCCCTCCTCACCCTATAATAAATAACCAGTCCCTTAACATCACAATAAAGGTTACACGATTACAACCCCAGTGACCCGTGAAGATCCAGGGTAGAATAGGTCCTCAGCAACCCATGCTTGTCGTAAGAGGCGACCATGCTTGTCGCAAGAGGCAATTAACGGGATTGGGTTGTTAAGCTTGTTGACTTGGTTGATGAATGTCATTATATCCCAAGTGCAAACAAACAAACAAACAAACAAATACAACCCCCAGTGAGGACAAACCTTGGCTAGCATTATACGTGTTTTCGCCACATCCAGTGGTGTCGTCACTCCAGCAGCTAAACCTCCTGCAATCAGAGAGAATTCAGTCAGTTGTGATTTATTTTACGTTGTGATTTATTTTACATTGCTTTTGTCTTTATTGATTTTGACCGCAAGGATCAAGTCGGACAGAATACTTGACATACATCCGACACTGGTGGGATGAGAGAGAAAAATGGCTTCCTGTAACTACCTTGCTTTTTAATGTCATGTGTGTACGTTGCATTAATATCATGTAGGTATAGTTATTGACAATGGAGTAATAAGGCCAAAAGAACGTCCCTCGCCCGACTTTTAGACAACCACCCTGCAGTTGAATAGAAACAGTAAACAGACCCTCCATAGGTCATGTCAGGTGAACTTTCTAAACAGCCAATCAGTGTTGAGCCTTCTAAATTCTCGGTATGAGTGAGCGAAGCATTCAGAACTGCAAATCCCATTTCTGTATCTAAGAAAACATGTTATGAATGTAAATCAAGGCTGTGGATATTATTATACTCCTGTCATTTCTGAGCACCACGGAATATACACCCCAAAAGCCTCTAAGTCTGGACGCAGACTGGCGGATTAAAAGGTTCACCTGACACGAGCATCTATGGAGGTGTCCTCAGATCTTCACGCATCTAGGTATCATATCAGAGTAAAAGATCTCACTCTAATGAGATTGCACAATCTTATAAACATAGAGTTTATTATATGTATTTAAGGTAGGAAATAAGGAATTTAAGCTTTGTTTTAAACCATGAGTCAGTCATACCTGCAGCAGCTCCACATATACTGGACTGCCACGCCTCTATTGGTCGGCCGGTGTGTGAAAACCACTGGGTCTGAAGCGCATGTAAACATCTCATCAATATTGAGAACCATATTAGTGCTGGACCATATTAGCTCTTGGGAATATGAGCACTGGGCCATATTAGTGTTGGGAAATATGAGTGTTGGGCCATATTAGAGCAGGGGAATATGAGTGCTAGGCAATGAGTGTTGGGCCATATTAGTTTTGGGGAATATGAGTGTTGGGCCATATTGATGCTGGGGAATATGAGTGTTGGGCCATATTAGTGTTGGGGAATATGAGTACTAGGCCATATCAGTGCTGGGGAATATGAGTCCTGGTAAATATTAGTGTTGGGGAATATGAGTCCTGGGAAATATTACTGTTGGGGAATATGAGTGCTGGGCCATATCAGTGCTGGGGAATATGAGTGCTAGGCCTTATAAGTGCTGGTGAATATGAGTGCTGGGCCATATCAGTGCTGAGGAATATGAGTGCTAGGCCCTGTAAGTGCTGGGGAAACAAGGGTATTCTAAGCTGGGACCTTACTTGGGATCTGGGAAACTTCCTACTACATTGCCTCTACATTGCCAAGTGATATATGAACAAGTGAGAGAGTGAATGATGTTAATTGCTGAAGATCTTACAGTAATAGTGAAACCTGATTAACCAAACACCACTAACATATGAAAAACTTGAATAAACTTTGGAAATTTCTGCAGGGGCTTTTGAAGAAGACAGCACCTTTTCCAAACTAGCAGCCCATATTTACAAGACTTCACCAGAAAATATCATGGCCTGAGATGATTCATTGTTTTGAACATGTTGAACACACAGTCCGCTGTTTCTGACATACACTGGATGACAATTATAACTTAACACTTCATGATTCTCATTCTACAGGCCTCTTTCATACACATCCTATATCAGACTTGTTGTAGGAAGTAAATCAGACCTACCACTTAACACTTGCGTTCGTGTTTCACCCTTGATGTCATATCGAGTTGATCACAGGATATGAAACAGCTGTCTGCTTGTGGCTTCACACCACAAACCTAAGTTTGCTGATTCACGTTTACAAATATCCGTTTGTGCGAACATTGAAAAAACAGTTTGCAAACAGTTAGTGTAAAATAGAATTGTTTTCTGTATTCACCCGTATTTTGTCCAACACTTTTTAGTTTTGAAACTTGATTTTGACGCGTAAGTAGTTTGTCCAACATATGTTGGTCACTTGCTACCATTGTTACCAAATAGACAGTGATGAAATGACATTTCTACTTACGTTACCACAAAAAGGCGGCATCATTTGAGAGACGTGAAGAGGAACAAAGCAACAACAACAACTTACATCTCTCATGTGAAATACACAAGTTATCGACACAGTATATGAGGTGGGCTGTCATCATTCAGATCTACCTACCCAACCCTGTCTAGCAATCCAGCTACACGCACTACTTCACATGCTTAGAGAGTGACAAGGACCTGATAAAGTAGCAAGTTTCAATGAAAATTTTAGTTTACAAGGTTCATACAAAAATGTCTCTCAAAAAATCAAATGCGTTTTCAAGGCTACCTTCCCAACATTCATGGTTTATGCAAGTTAATTTCTTCCCCATGTGATAAGCCAAATCGTGTTGACTTGATCAGTCTAACTTTATCAAACCATTTCAGTATCAAAGTGTTGTACGCTGGCAGGTCTTTCCGTTCAATTTCTTACAGATTCGGACATATTCTACTCTCAATGGAAGCAGACAATCAATGGAAGGAAGATTATTCTATGGTTACGGACTATTATTACAAAATGTTTTCTTTACAGCTTTTAACAGATTTCAAAAAAAGATTTCAAACCATGAAAGATACAATTGTTCACAGTATAGTTGAATTGGGCAGCAAAATGAAAGGCTTTTTCAAGGCCAATGTGAATGCAGTTAAATAAATATCCATCATACAGTAGTTTGTTTCTTGTTAAAATGCCACACTCACAATATCCCAGCCTGTTAATAATAAAGTATGGACCAGACAATCCAGTGATTGTGAGCAACGACCTACACAATCAGGATATGCCATCAACCACTGAGCCTGATCTATTTTTCTGCTTTTCACGGTCAACATTGGTTGATGGTGGCCTATTCTAACCTGGAATCCCCAGGGGGTTCGAATAGTAAATAATTACCCTAATTACACAGTGTCAATAACAATAATCTAATATCTAACAACACCTGGGAGAAATATTGTGGATATATATCCTAGACAGAGCTCCAGATAAGCTTTGGTGTTGTGGGTATTTTACCCATTTACTTTAAAATCATTGGGTATCAGTAATTCTATCTGGGTATTCAAATTTCTGTTAACCACTAGTTTTTACACATGTGGGTATTTAAGTTAAATATTTAAAAACACTATTCATCTAGTCCCTGCAAACTGGTGTCGTGTGGGTTCGAGAGCATTATAGGACTAAAAAATATCACGATACTTCCACAAGTAAGTGTGATGGCAAATGATCATGATGTAACTGTCATCGTGGAGTTTGGCAAGGTTGACGGAATGCCCGTTTAAAATTTCAAAATAAGTTGCTGATTTGCTAATCGAATACGCAGGGTTACTTCACAATATTTGATGATACGCACAAGTTAAATTTTAGTAGCGTATCTGTAATGTTCGTTGCATACTTGATATGCTTGGATTTTATTTTACTATGTATTTCTGCATTTCTGATGCGTATTTTACGCAGATACGCAGCTTATCTGGAGCTCTGCTAGATATATATATTCCTTACATAGAGAGTGACAACCTAGCTATCCTCATCATTGTTATAAGTTTTTCCTGAACTCAAGTATTGGCACATCTTCCCGAAGCAAGAGAGTTAACTGACTTTAAAAAGTTTCTGTACTGTTTCTATACTGTCGACACAGTAACGCATGTATATTTCATCATATTTACCTTGAAATATTCCCACATTGGAAACTGTAGGAAGGAGAAAGGCACTTCTCTTGCAACAGTGCTGAAATAGCCTCGGTAAAGTCCTCGAAAACCCTGCAAAAGTAATCAGTGGTAAAAAAAGTGTGGTATCGTCTGGCAGTTATCACACCTTTCAATGCTATTACACTATATACATGAATGTATGAGTGAGTACATTTTACTGTTGGCCAGCGTTAATTGAGGTAGTCTGTCAACTGAGTCTGAGCCAGGCAAACCAGCGCATGAACAACAATCCACCCCGCCGTGGTACGATGACACACTAGCAACCAGGTCACACATTGTGCTCTTAAAAACCTAGCCACATCCTAAACCAGCCGAGTGAATAAGTTGGGCTTTTATGTCAAGTTTAGGGTACTTGGACCATCAGAAAATATATGAAGACTTATTTAAAAGTTCTTTATGTAGTGGAAGTAGTAAGTTTATTTCTGATTGAATTGAAGATTGAAACACTCATAAAATGACAAGTGTTCTGGTTGGTTGGTTGGTTTGTTGTTTAACGCCGCACTCAGCAATATATTCAAGCTATATGACGGCGGTCTGTAAATAATCTCGTCTGGACCAGACAATCCAGTGATTGATATCATGAGCATCAATCCACGTAATTGGGATCGATGACATGCATCAACCAAGTCAGCGAGCCTGATCACCTGATCCCGTTAGTTGCCTTTTACAACAAGCATAGTTGCTGAAGACCTATTCTACCCCAGATCTTCACGGGTCCTTTCATAATGGGACTTGGTTGTTACAGGAAGGTCACCTATCCCTGATTACATGGACATCAGTACCCTACCTCGGTTCACAATCCCTATGAACTTGATTGAGAAGGATACAGGCTGTGCAGCCTGACCCTGGCTATTCAACTTGAAGGAAATATGGTTGCCAGAGCTCATGAAGGGTTGCCGAAGACCTATTCTACCCCGGATCTTCATGGGTCTCAAGTGTTCTGGTGGCTTATGGTGATACTCCCATGGCATTTGGTGTGACCTCCCTTAGACTAAGCTCCATCCAAGTGCTTGATGCTTTCATTACCCTCCCAGTATAGAGAGCTCCAGTGTGAGGAGCTTGTTTTCAGCAGCTGTGGCCTTCTACAATCTGACTTGTGACTCATCTACTTGCCCAGTGTGACCAGAGGCGTGTTCAGGAGGGCGAGCGACTGCGCAAGAGTACAGTGAGGCAATATCTCGCCTTTCTGAATGGGAGGTGCGTACTCGCTCTCGCGGCACAGCATCCAAAATGGCGTCGCCGGGGATCAAAACAGCCCTGTCCACAAGTGTCATAGGTTCACACATTTAATTTCATCACAAGTTTGATTCTCGTCAAAGGCAAACATTTGTTCAATGTGCGACCGCATCTTGGATTACGAGGTGAACTACCTCTCGGGCTCGATCGCGAGTACACACGTGCGCTCGCGCGGTTAGCCGTGTTCAACAGCGCGCACTCGCATAATATCGTGAGCGCCCGTCTACCTATCTGAAAGCGGCTAGTTTTCTGCCTGCTCTTACATTGTTTCCTGGAATCAGGAAGGAGCACATGCCTCTATCAACACATCCGACTGTGACAAATTCTGGACATTTGTGAATGCACTGACTTGGGTAGTAAGGGGTATTATATATTGGTGCTGCCACATATTTGACCCATTGTATTCTCTTTTATGATTGTAAACCTAATCCTGTGTGTTTCAATACAATTTGTTGATTGGTCATTGATCTTGTGTGGTTATTTACTGGTTACACAATTTAGTTCTGTATGAACCGATTTCTGCGTTAACCTTAGCGTTTTTCATTTGGAATCAGCTTGTAACAATATGACACCTATTATGATTAATTGTGTTGTCAGTTATGTCATTAGTTACAGTTGGAGCCAGTGTGATCATGAATGTGTGGAGGGGCAGTGAGCGTGGTTGGCATGGTAACCTCTGAAGCCAGTGTGGAGGGAGGAGTGAGTGTGGTTGTCATGGTTACCTCTGAAACAAGTGTGACCCTGAGGGTGTGGAGGGAGGAGGGAGTGTGGTTGTCATGGTAACCTCTGAAGCCAGTGTGACCCTGAGAGTAGGAAAGAAGAGTGAGGATGGTTGTCATGGTTACCTCTGAAGCCAGTGTGAGGGTGTGGAGGGAAAAGCGAGTGTGGTTGTCATGGTAACCTCTGAAGCCAGTGTGACTCTGAGGGTGCGGAGGGAGGAGCAAGTGTGGTTGTTATGGTAACCTCTGAAGCCAACGTGACCCTGAGGGTACGGAAGGAAGAGTGAGTGTGGTTGTCATGGTTACCTCTGGAGCCAGTGTGAGGGTGAGGAGGGAAAAGCGAGTATGGTTGTCATGGTTACCTCTGAAGCCAGCGTGACCCTGAGGGTCTGGAGGGAGGAGTGAGTGTGGTTGGCCTGAGTTCTCTGCTTCACCACCTCTACTGGGACTCTTATCAAACAGGCAGTCTGAAAACAAAATCAATCCGTGACAATTTGATGGCAGTTGTCTTTAATGAATCAGGGAATGATGAATCTATTATCCCATTCATATATTTCACATACTACCATACTGACTAAATTTTCACATAGAGATGAAAAATCACATATAACGAAATCAAAGAATGGTACATCCAAAAGACATCACATGCTTTAGCAAAGATGCACATTATTTTCTGCCACAGCCAGCAATATTCCAGCTGTATCACACTGGCCTGTAGAGCATCTGGATTGTGAACCAGTGGTTGACAGCATGAGTGAACTGCAGAGCTTTTGATCCCTCGACAACAGCTCAAAAGAAGTAAGAATGTTTTCACAAAAGTTCAGATGTCACGTTTATTTGAGAGGAATTTTCATGCCATTGTTAATAATTTACATACCCGATATGAGGGAAAAAGTGTCCACAGATGAACCCTATCATGACCCCATGCAATAACTGAGTGAATGCACTGAGCAGTATTCCAGTTATACCAGCACGAGTTGTACATAATCTGAACAGGCAACGCAGAAGTTGAAAGCATGAGCAATGATCCACGATACTGGGGTACAACGACAGATAACCAGCCATGGTACACACTGTACCATGTGTACCCACCCAATCCACATTACTTTGTTTGTGTGTTTGTTGCTTAAAGCCGTACTCATCAATATTCCAACTATAAGATGCAGTCTGTAAATAATCAAATCTGGACCAGACAGTCCAGTGATTAACATCATGAGCATTGATCCACGTAATCGGGATATGATGACATGCATCAACCAAGTCAGCAACCTAACCACCCGATCCTGTTAGTCACCTCTTACAGCAAGCATGGGTTGCTGAAGATCTATTCTATCCCGGATCTTCACAGGTCCCACATTAGTAAGCTCATGTGACAAGCATTGGACACTGGGGACCTATTCTGCTCTTGGTACCTTGAGGATCAATCCAAGCTGTTGTGGTTTGATGACAAACAATTAGAATTAGAAATTTCTTAGTGAGCACTTTTGATTGACCAGCCATGCATACTGTGAAGTTATTCTGCACCATAATCCCCAAGGGCCAATGATAGACAGATGGGCTGACAAAACATTTTGTATCTTCCTCACCACTTTCATTGGTAAGAAAGCGTGAGTGAGTATTGTTTTATGCTAATATTCCAGCAATATCACGGTGGGGGACACCAGAAATGGGCTTCTCACTTTGCACCCAAGTGGGGAATCAAACCCAGGCCTTCTGCATGATGGGTGAATACTTTAACCACAAGGCTATCCCACCGCCCCTCATTGGAAAGAACTTCTGCAGGAGAAAACACAACGGTGATCGTGTGTCAGGTATATCAATGCATGATACGTGAGTCATGATACAATACTTTATTTGCCATGAAACTCTCCATGTTCCATATCACGTGGCCAACAACGCTTGCATGATTGTTAATCAGGCATATTTTATATATCAGGCCTACTTATTATAAACTCAAAAAGAATTAATTTTGAAAATCAATACAGAATTACAACATGAATCATACAAGGGCAGGCACATCATGCAGCATCTTCCCGAGGCAAGAGAGTTAACTGAGTATAAAAGTCCAGTTTCCACCCTTGCCGAACTAGGCTGGTATCATGGAGTTACATTTTGGCTGGAATAATGAGTTTATGCATAGTCCAAACAAAATGCGCAACGAAATACAAATCCGATTCGTAAACTGTCGTGCAGATTTTGTTCGATTGCAAATCATGTGCATTGTCAACTCGTTGTCAACAGATTTTTTCTAAATGTTTTCATGTGTTTTATCAAGGTGCTCACGTGATGTATGTTTGATGTATTTCACGATGTTAGACCCCTTTTATCACAATATAGATCTTGATTATCGATTGACTGGGCGCCACCGTTTTGTTTTAAGCAATTGCAAGTGATACGAGAAGTAGAATCTGATTGGTCCATGGGAGAGGCTGAGAAGGGACATAACTCGTAATAGCCACTGGTGGCACTATGATCGAGCCCAGGAATTCCAGCCTAGTTCAGCAAGGGTGGAAACTGGACTTTTAAAGTCAATTAACTCTCTTGCCTCGGGAAGATGATCATGCAGGGGAAGACACCATTGGTCAAATCAAACTAGTCTGCAGCTCATTTCGGACTTGTGTTTTATGTAAAATACAAAGATTTGGGGAGAAAACAACTAGTCCCTCTGGCATTTCACTATTCTTGGACTAATGGATATCAGATCAGTTACCATGTCTATCCTTGTCATGTATCGTATCGTCATGTGTTAATTGGTGATGCATTGATACATTGGAGAATCGTGACACTCCTATGAACTCACCACTTCTCCAAGAGATGCAGCTGCCATGTGTCCTACAGGCGCCAGGGAGCTAGGGAGCATCTGGCTGAAGGCGTGCTTGGTTGCCTCGTACGTGCAGAAGAACAAAGCCGCTGAAACCAATACAATTTTACCCATAATGCATTGAAGTGGGAGGATCAAAAACACTGCAGCTCCAACAAAAACAACAGGACAAAACATATATTTGAATGTATATTGAGAGAATTCAAAATTGCATTTGTTATGATAACCATAATAAAATTACTGAATGAAAACAACGTATTCGACGTAATAAGCGCCCCTCTCTAATAAGCGCCCACGGCGATATTTATTAAAATATTGGCTTGTGAATAATCCCAATTAGCACCCCTTCCGATTGATCAATGTACACAAGACTTATTTATTTGTGTATAATATGCACGCGTGTGTTATATGCACCCTTAATTATGGGCAATTAAATTCTGGAAAAATACATCTGTCGTATATAACATTTCAGGCTGTCAGCATAAACCACGAAATTTATCTTTCAACTTTGTTTTTTTCCCACCAAAATACCATTCTAATAAGAGGCCCTTATTTCTAATTTTGAGAGTGCCCTGGGTGCTTATTACGTCGATTACGGTAAAGAACACATCATAACACTGTAGACAAATGTTAACCACTGTGTTCAATAAGCATCAGAATTGTTCATAGGAACCAAATACACATTGTCAATCCTTTATGGTGAGGTGATGTGAAAGGGGGTATAACGTCGTGTCCAAGATTACTGCACTTATATAGCGACATATATGCACGTGTATGTGTGTGTGTGGCTGCTTGTACTTGTCCGGACTGATGCCGATTTATAGTGCTATCACACTGAGATACCATGCCACAGTTTAAGATGAATACCCCACTCAGACACAGCATACTGACGCCGAGCCGACCAGTCTTGTTTTAGCCCCTTAATGCTGAGCGCAAGGCAAGGTAACAACAAGTACCATCTTTTAACGTCTTTTGGTATGACACGGTCGGGGATCGAACCACAGGCCTTCCGCTCTCTGGACGGACGCTCTACCACTAGACCATGGAGGCGTTCGAATAGTTTAGGGGTTTATAAACACACCTTTCCTCAATCACACTTGACTACATACACCTGCTATATGAAATTTTTAGTCAGGTAATGAAATTACTCCATGTATACTAATCAAAATAAGTTAGGGGTCATGAACATTTTCTTTGATATTTCCCCACTACAAAAAAAGATTTGCAAAATTTGCAGGATTACTAACTTTCTTTGTTCCATATATATAAAGAAGTAAAAAGATCTTGACTAATGAAGCAATGCTTCTTCTCAAATCAGAACCAGAAAACAAATCTTTGAAAGATCTGATGCATATCTAAAACAAATTCCATAACAATAGGAACATTACATGACAGGATTAGTATTTCAATATGAAGCATTCTTTCGAAAAAAAGAGGTCTCAAACCTGTTGGTGCCGAGCCCAGAGCGGCCGACATGAGGCCAGAATATATTCCCTTGAAGCCGCCAGCCTTCCAAAAGCCATGCTGACTCTGAAGCCGAGTCTTGATGGTGTCCAGCGGAAACAGGATCACATCCACTGACGTTCCTGCACAAGCACCTGCCTGGAACACAGGACTTGTGGTGAGCAACGTGACATGGGGTTTAACATCGTGTTCAAGATTATTGCACTTTCACAGAGACGTGCCTGCACGTGTGTGTAATGATACTTGAACTAGTCCAGACAAATAACGGTCTTATAGTGCTAGCCCACTGAGATACCATGTCGCAGTTTTGGTACATATTGGTTATCCCCCTTAGTTTCATCCCCTTAATCCAGAGCGCCAGGCAAGGAAACAACAAGCACCATATTTTAACATATTTTGTTATGATGCAGGCAGGGTCTGAACCACCAATCTTGTGCCCTCCGAGCAGACACTCTATCCACTAGACCATGGAGGTGATCCCTGGAACACAGGACTTGAACTTACACTAGGTCAGCCAGCACATGTAGTTGACTTATGGTATTGTTCAGGTTTGTCATTGATGTGCAAAGGCTTTCACTTGCCTGGATTTAGTAAAGGTAGTAAGCACAAACAAAATGTTTTGTTTGATGTTTAAACTGTTTAAGACCAAAACTAAATATATGGGTGTATTGCCAACACGAGCAATATTCCAGTTAAATGATGGTGTCCTGTATCAAACATCTAACCAGTGACTGATATCATGAGCAATGCCCCATGTCGGAGTACGACAACCCACAATACACTTATGGTTGTCACATCTTGTGAAAAGCAGAGGCCCACTGTATCCTGGAGTGAGTGAGTTAGGTTTAACACCACTCTGAACAGTGTTTGACTTAGTTTGAGTTATATCATAGTGTGTCAGCTTAATGTGGGAGAAAAGTCAGAAGTAATGCAGGTCTCGGGTATTGTGCTGACAAACCTAGAAACATAATGGGAGCAAACCTGGAATTGAACTCACAATCATGGGTTTCTGGCGTGCCCACTGGATGCAACTCACAGCGATTTGTGGCGCCTTTGACGACTGGGCCACCTGTGCTCCCTATTCTAGGCTGGAAATACTCAGGGGGAGGACACATTGTAACCACTTCATTCTCATTAGTTTCCATATCAATTTTTCGATTCATACCTCAATGAACCGTGTTGGTCGGCACTCATACTGAGCACTGGGACCTACCCTGCCCTGCAACTCCCTGTAACCATGGTAACCAGTAGCAATGATGGTTGGTTGGTTGGTTTGTTGTTTAACGCCGCACTCTGCAATATTCCAGCTATATGACGGCAGACTGTAAATAATCGAGTCTGGACCAGACAATCCAGTGATTAATATCATGAGCATCGATCCACGCAATTGGGATCAATGACATGCATCAACCAAGTCAGCGAACCTGACCACCCGGTCCCGTTAGTCGCCTTTTACGACAAGCATAGTCACCTTTTACGGTAAGTATGGGTTGCTGAAGACCTATTCTACCCCGGAATCTTCATGGGTCTAGCAATGATGTATAAGACCAACATATACTCACAACCAGAGCTATCTTAAAATCAGTGTAGCTTTTCATAGTTTGTTGTATCTTCTTTCCAGCAGAGGCAACTTCAAGAAGTGTCAATTCTGCAAGACAAAAAACATGAATTAAAAAAGCGCATACCAAAAACAACGGAATAACATTTTGATCTCACACTGCTTTTTATAGATTTCAATGTAGATTTTTGCCACAACTACTTTCAGTCAGCCTCACTGACACTATGTGCAAGGTTTTCAGAGTAAGATGGCGAAAGTCATTAAGATAAAATATACTACATAGAACATTTGTCTTTTCTTGCCAATTATGTTTGTTTTTACGCCGCTTTTAGCAATATTCCAGCAATATCACGGTGGGGGACACCAGAAATGGGCTTCTCACATTGTACCCATGTCGGGAATCGAACCGAGGTCTTGGGCGTGACGAGCGAACACTTTAACCACTAGGTAAGGGTGAAACGATACACCGATATTCCGATGCATCGTGATACTTGACCCACGATACGACATACGATAAACGTGGGCCCATTTATCGATACGCCACGATATACGGAACGCAAATCTCAAGTAAAGCGTTTCCTCGCTATTGTGCCTTTCAACATTTGTTCAATAAACCGCTAACTTGGTTAAAGCGCGCGGTAACGCATGGCTCCCAAAAACATACTTACATTTTTAATAAGCTCAGGTTTTACACCGACAGATGTTTTTCCCCATCGCAAAAAACATTATCAGCTGATCCCCACAAGCACATAACACTGGAAATACCTGTCAGCAAATCCGAATTGAAGTACGCAATTCAATACCATTATTATACTATCTTGTTACTAAAATGTGTTCATTATATTTCTGGACTTGTGTTTGTAATATATTTTATTAATTTTATTCAAAATTTCATTTAATATTGTTTTCATTAAGTTATGTGAAATCGTGTGTGAAGAGATACTGCAACCACGGTCAGATTACCGCTTTTGACGCATTGAAATGAACTTTAGTTGCTAGAGAATGGATACATATATTAAAAATGCAATACTTTGACTCGTTAAAAGTCATATGTGTGGCAATTTGGCGAATATGACAACATAACGTTTTCGCAATCGAAATACATGTAGCACGGGAAATCCCTAGGGTGACTGATCAAATTGTTCCATACGTAAAAATATCCTGCAACAGCAATCACCAGTACCAAAATGCTACACTTGTGGTTCTTATAATTTGAAATATATATATAGTAAAAGCTGCAACTAAGGTAACACGATATTGGAATATATTATTCCTGATAAAACAATAATTTCAGATACAATTTCTTCGAGCATGGCATCAAAATTCTTTGAAGTTGTATCACCGGTGGAGTACATTAATTATTTTCTGGTGTTTGAACTTTAAATTGTTTTTAAGTTCCAACTTCAGTAGTTATTATAAAATATAAAATATAAAATAATTTTGACTGTTCCAAAATCATGAAAGGTTCAATCTTGACATGCTTTAAGTCTTGTTTTATTTATCATTGCGTATCGAGACCAGAATATCGAGATGCGTATCGTATCGTGACCTTCCTGTATCGTTGCAGCCCTACCACTAGGTTACCCGACTGCCACTCTTGCCAATTAACATGACCTGACAAAGTTGACAGTTACACTGGTGGCTGCAGCGTTCCTGAAAGTTCCTTTGTCAGGTCACTTGATGAGACAAACATCATAATCGCTTAATGTGTTTTTATCCTGCTTATAAACCTATTCATTGGGATCTCTATTAAGTAAGAGAGTTCTTTCTATAGGCATTAAAACCTATTAAGAGGTTTTACTTTCAAAGTAAAACCTATTAAGAGGTTTTACTTTCAAAAGTAAAACTTATTATGAGGTTTTATTTTCGTTCAGGAGGTTTTACTTTGAATGTAAAAGCTCAAATCTCAGGTTTAACCAAGTAACTGAAAAAATGACAACAAGTAGCAATTCTCTTCCTGAATATTCTGGATGCCATGAAATGTCTATCTGGTATGCAGTTGCCAGTATGATGAAATGTTCATTTCGTCTTTTTTCGCAAAGAGGGACAAATCGATAAATTAAATTAGCCTCAAGCTTTTCATGCTTATGCATGAATGGTCATACATTCTATGTGAAAATCCCAGTCTATGTCACGTGTCCCAGCTGTGTACACTGATATGACTCCAGAGTTCTTAAATTGGATGCCAAGGCAAGTAAAGTGGTATGCCGGATGCATGGGGTTACTTGTTGTGTATCAGTTGCATGGTTTAAAAATTTGACTTTATTCCAGCTTCGCTCCATGCTCACTCACTTTCTTATTTATTGCGGGGGCACGGGTGGCCCAGTCGTCTAAGGTGCCGCGATTCGCTGTGCAGAGTTGCGTCCCTTGGGCACGCCAGAAACCTATGATTGTGGATTCGAATCCCGGTTCACCCTGATTATGTTTCTAGGTTTGTCAGCACCATACCCGTGCTCGTGGGTTTCACCGAAGTGGTAAACGTCTGAGACCTGCATCACTTCGGGCTTTCCTCCCACATTAAGCTGACACGCCGCGATATAACTGGAATACTGTTAAAAGCGGCGTTAACTCACTCACTCAATCTTATTTATTGCACTTCTTTTTGAAAACAAAACGTGGCAGTTCAAAGAGTTATCTTCATTTTAAAACATGTCAAAGTTTATTCTTTAGCCCATTAATCTTTTCACAAACTGTCAATGACATTCATATCAAATTTGTAGAATTCTTGATGTAAACAGGCCTATTTTGGCCTGCATATCAGAGTGCTCTTGAATGACATATTTGACGTTGAGACAAAGGTAATCAGACCGACTCTGATCTGCAAACCCTATTTTCTTAGAGACCAATTGATGTTTATTGAGTACCTCATACTCAATATTGCAAACATACCTGTATGACCTAGGCATGTATAGTCTGGAAGTTAATTTAAGGTACCGACGTTTACTGCAATATCTGAAAAACTATCGGACCTACTCCAGTCAAAGTTGGTATGAGATTATTAAACAGTCATACATAACTGGATATTACATTTAAAGACAATCGGTGCATGAATAAAATATCGTGTATTTAGCTATCACTATATTTCATCAACAACCAGACCTGTTCGTCACGGGTGGAATGAGCATTCATTGTAACAGCCATCTGCATAATGCTACCCCTGCGTCACAGGGCCATATGACACAGTTGAACCAATCAACTCAACTCGAAAGGTTGCACGGGAATCACGCACGCATGAATACAGTGTTAGCGTTGGGCGTCTCAAGCAGTTATTTAATAATATTTATCCAATTATTTTTGCATTCTTTTTCAGGTCAGTGTTATTGACTTGAATGTATCATTCCTTGCCACATTATTATATTTCATGCATCATGTTATTAGGTGTAATATATCATACATAATTATTCATTTAGACAAATCATTGCTTTATGGTTTCGGTGAAAGAGAATCAAATTCTGAGCCGAGAATTGCACAAAGTGGACAAGATCCGATTACGACATGTACTACAAAGCACAAACCTGAAATTCGTAGACGATTCCTAGAATTTCTTTGATAAACAAATTTTTTCTCACGAATGCCACGAAATACAAGAATGTTTGGGAATCAAATAAGATATATTTAAGATTCTTAAGAAATGATTAAGTATATGTACGAATATGTGAGAATTCATATCCGTGGTAATTCGGGCTATTGCATGTCGTAGTGAAACAGGGGTATATATATTGCACTATTCTTGGTCCCACGAAATGCCCTCGTCGTCAGATTCGGAGTCTGTGCTGTCACCTAAGTGAACAACAACAGGCTGGACAGTATCTGGTCGGATACAGTCTTGTTTCCAATACTCTTCCTCAACTTTGATAACATGTTGGACACAGTTTGCCCAACGTTCATCTGTAATTTCTCCCATCCCTTTCAAGACAATCTGCTTGACGTCGGCAAGCTTGAAGATTTTATTTTGCCATGCGACCATATTTTTCAAATCACCCCAGATTAGTTTGATGGGATTCAAGTCACAATGGTAAGGAGGAAGTCTAAGCACTTCGTGACCGTGTTCTCTCAACATGATGTCAATCAAATAAGAGGGCGGGGGTTTGTTCTGAAGAACCAGTTGGTCGTAGTCATTTTTTTGGCTTTCATGGGCCGAGCAATGCGGTTGTTGTCCAACCACTGACATATCTCACCTTTGGTGGAATTTGAGGTTGGACAACGGTTAATAGGATCTCGACAACTGTGATCGGGAGCATTGTCCATAACCACCAAGGATTTATCAGGCAGTGCTAAGAGGAGCTGCTCCTCAACATACGCAGTGAAAACCTGACTATTCATCTCTGTATGGTAGTCTCTGCCATCTGTAGATCTGAACACTAGATCACACCCAGGGAGTACACCTCTGTGGGAGCCTGCATGGAGGACAATCAGGCGCTCCCCTTTACCAGGGGGGATCTTGTGCTGTGGCTCTCTGGTATCTGGGTGAGACCATTGGTAAGCCGCTGTGTGGCAGGCGTCAACCCAGGTTGCGTCCAAATAGACTCATAGCCTTCTTCTCGTTTCTTTTTAACAGTGCACAAATAATTGATACGCAATGAATGATATCTGGTCGTTCACACATTGCTAGTTTACAAATGGTCCATTTGGAAATATCTAAGTCATGCTCTGGAAGGAGAATTTGTTTTAGTTTTCGTGTTGAAATAAATTCATTTTCTCGTGTTAACCGCCGAATCACGTCCATGACAACTTTCTTATCAAAGGAATCTAACTTTAATTTCCTATCCTGTTTTGAGATGCCCCCTAAGGGATGTGCAGGGGAGCATGTGTTTTTATGAGAGTTCAAAATCTTAACTACGGTTTGTTTGGGAAGATGTCAAAGAGGGGCGAACATCTTTCACTTTCAGCCTTAAAGTAAACACTATATTCGTGCGTGCGTGATTCCCATGCAACCTTTCAAGTTGAGTTGATTGGTTCAACCGTGTCGTATGGCCCTGTGATACAGGGGTAGCATTATGCAGATGGCTGTTTCAATGAATGCTCATTCCACCCGTGACGAACAGGTCTGGTTGTTGATGAAATATAGTGATAGCTAAATAGACAGATTTTTTATTCATGCACTGATTGTCTTTAATGTAATATCCAGTTATGTATGACTGTTTAATAATCTCATACCAACTTTGACTGGAGTTGGTCCAATAGTTTTTTCAGATATTGTAGTAAACGTCGGTACCTTAAATTAACTGTCAAGACTATTGTGTAGGGCTAGGCTACTGCTCAGTGGCGCATGCAAACTTGGGGGGACAAAGTCTTAGGGCATTAGGCTAGGGACTAGGTCAACTGTGAAAATTTAGAAGATATCCTACCTGTTAGTTGTTGTCCTCTGGTGTGGTCTGGATTTGGTATTATCCGTACTTCTCAAACAGGACAATCATATCCACACTATAAGATACGGCGGCCTACATGTGTCGTGTATTAAAAGAATCCTTCTGCTTACACTACTTCCGTCTATGTAGCGTAGGACGCGGGCGGTTAACTTCCGCTGTAGGAATCGTGGCGCGAGTACAGACGTTGTCGCTCTGATTCCAGGTTTCACCATGGAAGGTGGGACTTTGATGTTCAACTCGAAGTACAAAAGTCTAGCAGCAGAATGGCTAGGACTGTCACCTGACCAACTAACGATAAAAGATGAACCAGATGTCCGTTCAAACGAATCAAAACAAGAACACGTGTTAGTAAACTCACTTTTCTCACTATGCCTTGATCAGCTGCGAAATCGTACGTAGCTATGTAACTATGTAACAAAAGTTATATTTGGGATAAAACTTTCTTTAAATACAAATGGTGATTCGAAACCACTCCGTCAGAGTGAGGCACCTGATCGCCAGCACACAAAACTAGCCATCTGACCCACTGAGCCACCGAGGCGTCCACAGAATGGAAGAGGTCCATATCATGTATTTGTTGTACACAAGGAGGGCTGAGCAATGACTAAATAAATAATATCATTAAAATGATAAAGGACCAACTGTTAACATGGTTGACATAATCATGATTATCATTAATTGCGTAGCAACCCATGCTTGCCGTAAAAGGCGACTATGCTTGTCGTAAGAGGCAACTAATGGGATCGGGTGGTCTGGGTCGCAGACTTGGTTGATACATCATGATACATGTCATCGATCCCAATTGCTTGGATTGATGCTCATGATGTCAATCACTGGATTGTCTGGTCTAGACACAATTATTTACAGGCCGCCGTCATATAGCTGGAATATTGCTGAGTGGTAAACAACAAAAAAACAAACATTTATTGCGTTGTATTTTCCAGACCAATACCAAACAACGCTGTTAAGAAAAAGAAAACAAAACAGACTAAAAGGGAAAAGGTCAGAACGTCTTTTGAAATAGGTGAAAAACTGCAAAAGAAATTATCTAAAGCAAGGAAAAGGGGATATGATCGAGAAAAAGGTAAGAAGGAGGTAGCTGTAGTAACTGTAACCGATCTGTTCTGCTCCCTAAACATGATTAATGATTTGGATATTGACTTTTGCTACACACAGAACTATTGGTTAAATCCAGGGTAGAATAGGTCTTCAGCAACCCATGCTTGCCGTGAAAGGCGACTATGCTTGTCGTAAAAGGCGACTTGGTTGATGCATGTCATCAATACCAATTGCATGGATCGATGCTCATGATGTCAATCATTGGATTGTCTTGTCCAAACTCGATTATTTACAGACCGGCGTCATATAGCTGGAATATTGCTGAGTGTATCACTGAGTAATAACAACCAACCAACCAATCTTCCATATCGTTTTCTTGACAGATTCCAAATGGAGGTACTATTGTAAGCAGGGACTTCTCTAAATAAATATAGATAAATAATAGATAAAATAGTCTTGTCCGGACTTGATTATTTGTTAACCACCATCCTAAGGCTGGAAAATTGCTGAATGTGCTGTTAAACAACAAACAAAGAAACAATACCTGTGAATACATTGAAACCACTATATGTGTGTCTCCTAGCTCACTCCCTCACTTGTGTTACCAGAGGAGACTGCAAGGGTTTGTGACAAGTCTGTCCGTGATGATGGAGAGGAGGAAGAGAGTAGGTCGGAAAGTGTGAAGAAAAGGCCAAGGGTGGATGAAGGGAAGGATGGAAACAGACTTAAACCCCTTACAATTGCTGATCTGAAAACAAGACTGAAAGATCCAACATTGTCTAAACCAGTAAAGAAAAAGCTACGTAAAAGATTGAGGATTTTGGAAGAAAAGTAAGGCACTTAAAACAATTTATGAGATCTCTATTTCGTTCACTAACATGGAGAAAATATTACAGCACTCTGTGCTAAGTACTTTTGAATCTGCTAGCCGAAAGGTGGCTCTTAGCAGGGTTTTGTAAAGGTTTTTGCGTTTAACATGTTACCATGGTTATAAGGGAGCATGGGTCGCAAAGTCATCTAAGGCTCCATATTTCCCTGTGCAGAGTTGCGTGAAATCTATGATTGTTGGTTTGGATCCCGATTTACCCATTTTATGTTTTTAGGTTTGTCAGCACCATACCCATGCTCATTTGTTTCACCATTTATGATATTACTTACATGACCCGAGCACCGGACAATAGTTATTTGGATCGAACTTGTCCTCCATGTAAACAGTATTGTACTCAGGCATCAAGTAATATTGATGATTAAATCCTGAAGACTCCGATGGTAAACATCGTAAAGGCAATGGAAAGCCCTCTGTTGCCCACTGAATTGTATCTGTGATTATCCTGTATATTTTGTCTCCATTCTTCATGTTATAAATGGGGGCACGGGTGGCCCAGTCGTCTTAGGCGCCGCGATATTCGCTGTGCAGAGTTGCGTCCCTTGGGCACGCCAGAAACCTATGATTGTGGGTTCGAATCCCGATTCACCCCGATTATGTTTCTAGGTTTGTCAGCAACATACCCGTGCTCGTGGGTTTCACCGAAGTGGTAAAGGTCTGAGACCTGCATCACTTCGGGCTTTCCTCTCACATTAAGCTGACACGCCGCGATATAACTGTAATACTGTTAAAAGCAGCGTTAAACCCAACTCACTCACTCATGTTATAAATACTAAGGACCCTTTTGCCAACAAAACTTCATGACGGAAGTGACCATCTCCATTCCTTGTATCATGTGTATCGCTAAGTTCGCAAAGAATAAGCTCCAAATAAGAAAATCAGCATTAAGTTACATTAGACATTGCAGCATTAAACAAGCATGTCAGCAATGTATTTGATTGAATCAAAGGACTGTTATGTATGTACTTTTAAGCAAGTTATTTATCTTTAGTTGGTTATAAATATTTTGACTCCCGATTCAATCCAGGTGGTTAAAAAAAATTAAAAAATGAATTCCCCCCAATTAAAATGTGTGATTACCGAGTTGACAGCTGGTGATGTCAGAATACCACATGGTCAGAGAATTCTTACATGAGAGGTGAAGGATGGTGGAACAGATGCCCCTCCTGATACTCAAGATTAAAATGACGGAACGATAATTCCTCATGCTGCCAGGCATTCACATTTTATTGGTGATCCTGGATATTGCTGCTTGTTTATTTCATGACCGAAGGGGGCACGGGTGGCCCAGTCGTCTAAGGCGCCGCAATTCGCTGTGCAGAGTTGCGTCCCCTGAGGATACCAGAAACCTATGATTGTGGGTTCGAATCCTGGTTCGCCCCGATTATGTTTCCAGGTTTGCCAGCACTATACCCGTGCTCGTGGGTTTCACCGAAGTGGTAAATGTCTGAGTCCTGTATCACTTCAGGCTTTCCTCCAGCATCAAGCTGACATGCACAGTTATATAACTGGAATGCTGTTAAAAGCGGCGTTAAACCCAACTCACTCACTCACTCATGACAGAACAGTGTTGTTCAACTGGATGATTTTTTAGCATCATGTCATTCAAACAGGACTCGAAATGAAAAGATGGTGGCGAATGGCGAAGGGGTATTTATAATTATGGGATAGAGATGTAATCGTGCAAACTTAAGGGTGACTCCATCGAAACAAATAATGAATCATGTCTGTTGTAATATTTCAGAGATGGAGCATCCTCAGCTCTTCAGGATGGAAACAAACATGGCTTCAAAGGACCTAATGCTGAGAAGTTACAAACAAAGTTAAAGAGAAAGGAAATTGATGAGTTTTCAAAAAGTTTTACTGATCATATGAAGGATTACAACAATAAAAAGAAAAAAAAGCAGACTGGTTTTTCGGATAAAAAAAATAAAATGAAAATGAAACGGAATAAAGGTAATGTGACAGATATCAACAAAAGTGACCTTATTGCCAATCAAGATGACTCTGTCAGTGATTCAGACGAAAGTGAATCAGGAAATCAGAGTCCGCAAAGGGCCATAAAAAGTGACATGATTTTTGTGGACCGAAGTCCTGTGAAAAAAGACAATGTGCAATCTTCAAAAAAGAAAACGAAGAAGAAAACAAAGTCCTTACACAGCGGTGTTTCCAAAGATGATGAGGCTGATTCCACGAAGCATAAAAAGACAATAGCGGGAGACAGCAGCAAAGTGGTATGTTGAGTGTAACATTTGAATCTCTTCAGTGGTGACTGAAAACAAATAACTAGCAGTCCCATACAACTGGAATTTTAGGTCAATATTTGACTGCCATTGTTGGTGATCTGAGTAATGTCTACCGCTCAAGATTGTCATGATAACTGACAGAGGTATTATTCGTCCATAGACTTATAATACAAATATCAATTGGGAATACGTTTGGCTCATGTCATGGAAGGTGAAAGGTCAAGGTCATGAGAGAAAAATCTCACAAAAACATGAATGGTTTGATAGGCATTACTTAGAAGTTGACGGATGACAAAGTAGACACCCTTTATGGATACTGTTAAGGTGACGTTTCGATATAGATCCTCAAGTAACGTCGCCTTTACAGTATTAAAGAAGTTGTTATACATAAATTGTAGATAACTTTGTAAAACATTCATGGTTACACTTTTTCAAAAGGTATCAATGCATTTATCAGTTAAATGATCGGGAATTGGTCAGCGTTAATTTTGTAGGTGTAAAACATGCTTGTTGCATTGTCAATTTCTAAGGCGTGCTTACCTCTACAGGCATATAACTATATATTTATGACCCTCCCCAAAGAGACAAAATGCAAAAAGCACTTTATATTTTACAATAAACTACTGGTGCCTAATGTTTTTGGACTGGAAGTACATGGTACGGTACCTCTATTACGATTTGAGAGCTTTGGGGAAATAGCGGTGATGTGGCTGCTTGTGGTCTTGCAAGTACTTGTGAACCTGTACTTTACATGATGATATGGAGTAAGTTGGCTTTAGCATGTTCAATCTTAGAACAAGACAAACCACTTGTCTTTAAACAACATTGAGTTGCTCCGTCTTCTCTGCCGTTGTAGATTGGTGGGGACGGCAATAGTAAAACTCCAGGGAGGAAACGGAAGCATCACAAGAAAAGAAGCAAACAGAAAAACATTAAAAAAGATCACAGGCCAGATGAAAAGGTAACGAAAATAGTATTGCATAGGGCTTGGATGAGTCCAAATTTACTACCCGGGTTTCCATTCCGCTATTACCCGACCCTACTGGGGTACCTGCTACATGCCCAAGAGTTAGGTACAAAATGGCCGATTTGGAATAGTTTGATCGCAGCCCTGGTAAAATGTATTTAGATACACGTATAAACATGATAAAACAATCTGGTCATGCAAACCTATAAAGGTCAGAAGGATTGGTGCTTAGTCAGAAAGAAATGCAAACATTAGTGACTTGTAGTTTAACCATAGAGTTCTAGATATTTTTTGTCATTAAACAATATATCCCGTGACTAACCTTGGGTCCTTTGGGTACCCTGGTCCTACTCGCTACCCGTCCAAGCCCATGGCATTTTTGAAAAAAGAAATATATTTATTCAGTTGCAAAACACAGAGGACAAAACCTCAAAGTTAATTATTTTAACTTGGAATGGTGCTGAAAATACATCAATTCCTTTGCGATGCTGGTTATATCCTGGCATGACAACACATTGTCTCCATCCTGACACGCAAAAATCGCATTAAAGTACAACAAGTACCAACTGACCTTTCGCTTCACCAGGGGAAATGCTCTATCCAATAGAATTGGTCCCCAGCAAGCTATGCTTATTAGAGAGAGGTTACTGAATGGATCAGGTGGACGGGCTTGGTTGATTTTGTGTCATTGTACCTCGTTAATCTGGGACGTTGCACATATCAATCGCTGATTTATCTTATTCATTCTCTTATGTTGAGAATAAGTCTTCAGCATCCCATGCTTGCCGTAAGAGGTGACTAACAGGATCGGGTGGATGGTCAGGCTTTCTGACTTGGTTCATGCATGTCACTGTATCCCAATTCAGTAGACTGATGCTCATGATATCAATCACTTGATTGTCTGGCCAAAACTCGATTATTTACAGACTGCCGTCATATAGCTGGAATATTGCTGAGTGCAGCATTAAACCACAAAGACCTGGAACATTGCTGAATGTGGCATTAAGTAACGAACAAGCAAAGTATCTTTAAGTATTAGTTTTGCCTGCAGAGGTTACAGTGTTGTGTATAAAATGTTTCACTCTGGAGGCAAAGCCATATTTGTGTGTTGATGTATGTGTGGACTGGTATTAATCAATGCAGCTCTGAATCTCTTATTTTTACAGAAGCCAGCTCATCTTCAGGGTGCAGGGAAGGGCAGAGTCAAACAAAAAGTGTCATCACCGAAAAAACCCGACTGAACAATTTAATAATTTGTTGCTCTCATCACTCATGTAAGAAACAAAGGAGGACAATAGAACAGACCTGTGATGCTCGTTGACATTAAAGTCTGGTGTTAAGCAATACACATAGAATATATGAATGGATAAGCTTTTGGAAACAGTCGAGCCACAATATAAAAAAACCCACAATAACTTTCACCTTTAGGTAATTGTTCAGTGTGGGACTTTCTGTAGCCATCAACCCAACAAAACCAAAGTAAAGTATAAATTAGGTTTGTCTTGGAAGTTTGGATTATGACAACCCATATGTGATCTAATACTGTAAAATATGTGGAAGGATAATTTTATACCAGTAGACTCAAGTTTTGGTGCAGACTTATTGTGTTCAATGTTAATTAGCTCACCTGGCCATTAATGAAATGATGGGAACTGTAGAAGTGAATTTGGAATAAAAAGAAATATATTTGATCATTCTGTGAATTCTTGTGGATGTCCATGAAGTTACATCAGCAGTGGTGGTTAAAGCGTTCGCTCGTCACGCTGAAGACTCGAGTTCGATTCCTGACATTGGTACAATGTGTGAAGCCCACTTCTGGTGTCCGCCGCTGTGATATTGCTGGAATATTGCTAAAAGTGGCTTAAAACCATACTCACTACACAGTAGTGCGCGGTTGGGTAGCCTAGTGGTTAAGGTGTACACTCGTCATGCTGAAGACCTGGGTTCAATGAAGCCCATTTCTGGTGTCCCCCGACGTGATATTGGTAAATGTTGCGTAAAACCATACTCACTCACTACATCAGCAGTGAAGTCAGTCTGGATTGCTGCACTGCAAGAGGAACGTGCATTACAGTACCCCGCCTTAGGGGCCGACGCTTTGATATTTTGTCTGGGAATGGGAGAAGACTGGGACATGTAAACAAGTTCTCAGGTTTTACAAGAACAAATAAATCATTCACTGGCTGTGCAAGATGTACAACAATGATGCACTGTGGGTAAACAAATGTTTGGCTCTTCCTTTTAGAGAAATAAATGGTCAAATGTAAAATGTTGACAGAAAAAATATTTAGTCTCAAGTCCTTTCCTGTCTGGGTACAGTTCTAACAGTTAAAGCCCCTTCAAAGTGTATCCTGTTATAATGTTAAGAGTCACGTTTTGTCGGCATAATTTTTCATAGTCTTACACACATCAGTACTTCACACGCTTGTAGTCACAGCATTCCTGTATTTCCATCACCACGGGGCACGGGTCGTCCAGGGCACCGCGATATGCTGTGCAGAGTTGCGTCCCTTGGGCAAGCCAAAAACCTATGATTGTGGGTTCAAATCCCGGTTTGCCCGGATTATATTCCTAGGGTTGTCAGCACCATTCCCATACTCGTGGGTTTCACCAAAGTGGTAAACGTCTGAGACCTGCATCACTTAGGGCTTTCCTCCCATTAAGCTGACACACCGTGATATGACTGGAATGATCTTAAAAGCGTTGTTAAACCCAAATCACTTACTCCATCACCATAAGTATTGGAGTCACATCACAGCATGTCATGACTGATAAGGGAAAATAAATTGGAGTGTGTGCTGTGATCTGATTGGTCGAAACATTTGTTGAGATTGGATCTGGTAATCTTTAGGTCCTTTCATTGCGTTGGTTATAAACAAAATCTCGCTTCTCATGTCAATCACTGGATTGTCTGGTCCAGACTCAATATTTACAGGCCGCAGTCATGTAGCTAGAATATTGCTGAGTGTGGCATTACACTATAAAACAAACAAACAAGATGTCAATATTAACCATTGGAAACCAACAAACAAGAAGAAATCAAAACTTGTTTATTGCATGTATAGCGAAATATTACATTTTTATACAAACAAAATATATACACATGGAAAAGAGTTAAGAATGCTTACAATATCAATATTATATAGCCAGTTCTAAAATTGCAACCTATATTAATGTTCTGACGAAACCCATTCATTTATGTTTAGAAATAGACATGCTTATACTGAAATACAGAATCTGACACAAGTAGGTTGGGATATATGAACTCAATTGTGATGCTTAAGGTGAAGGTGAAGTGAGGTGAGGTGAATTGGGTGTAACATCGTCGCTTTCAAGATTATTGTTATTCCGTAGCGATGTGTGTCTGATTATACTTGTCCGGACTGATTTATAGTGCTAGCCCACTGAGATACCATGCCACGGTTTAATACGGTTTCCCCCACTCAGACACAGTATACAGTATACCAATCTCATTAAAATCAGATCTTAGTTCCACTAAACAAAGATCTGCGGACATCCCATTAGGGGTCACGTCAGAACGACCTTTTATCCGACCAATCAGAGCGTCGCTTACCAGATCATGAAAGTGACAGTCGGAATGTGATTTCTAATCATGCAACCTCGAAACTTCAACACGGGGTATTCTGAACGATAGTTACAGGCTTAACGACTGAATCAATACTATCTAGACCATCAATTAGTCATTCCAGAAGGGTTCTTTTGTTCAGGTTTCAATTTTTTATCGAGAATTTGCCAAAATATGTTTCGAAGCGTAGTCGCCAATTTGAAATTAATGCTGTTAAGCACGAGAAAGTTGCCTTCTGATTGGCTAATGTCGACTTCTTGTCAGTCATTCCATGGGTCGGTCAAAGTTCACGCAAGGTCGGTCTGACGTGACCCGTAATAGGATGTCCTCAGATCTTTGTTTAGCGGTAGTGAGAACTAAGATCTGATTTTAATGAGATTGACAGTATACTGGCTCCGAGCGGACCAGTCCTTGTTTAAGCCCCTTAATGGAGAGCGCCAGGGTAACTACAAGTGCCAACTTTTAACGTTGTTTGGTATGACGCGGCCGGGGATCGAAACCTGACCTTCCACTTCAGGGCAGATGCTGTATCACTAGGGACTACGTCTGGACCTTAATGTTGTATATGTACTGATGGCATGAAATAGGAGAACTTGCAACATTATTATACATTAGTTCGTCCCTGAGGTAAATGTAAGAGTGAGTGAGTTGGGTTTAATGCCACTTCTAACAGTATACCAGTTTTATCGCGGCGTGTCAGCTTAATGTGGGAGGAAAGCCTGAAGTGATGCAGGTCTTAGACGTTTACCACTTCAGTGAAACCCACGAGCCTGGGTATGGTGCTGACAAACCTAGAAACATAAGGTAAATGTAAGTATTTCAAGACGAAGTCACTACAAATGGATCTTTAACATTGAAGCAAAGCAAAATGTTATTTCCTTGCAATAAAAATAGACAAGGGGAAACCCTGATGGTAACAGACAAGCTGACTTCGTTCGAAAAATGTACTTATATGAATATTGCCAATGTTTAGTTCAACAACAAAGATTTTTAAGGTTCTTTATTTGCCGGTCAAGAGGGACTGTCATACACCTGAATTACTGGTCCAAGACTAATTCTACCCGTAAAAAACTGGTAATTACCGGTAAACAGGAACACTAAACTACCATATGCACTATGAGGACATTTTGAGAATATATACATGTATGTATATAGAGGTGTGTGATTTTGTTTTCTATACATACATATTATGCTATACACACTATCATCGAGTTCCTGTGGTTTCAACCAGCCAGAAGCTCAGCTCCAATATTGGAGGGGGTGGGATAGCGGAGTGGTAGTGTAACTTGTCATCTCAAAGGCCTGGGTCTGATTGCTCACATTCATACAACAATATATGAAACTTATTTGTTGGAATAATGCGACAAGCTGTGTAAGGCCATTACCATCGACATACCCGAGTTGGCCACCCTCAGTGATGGATGTCACAGCTTTCCTGATTATGCATGCAAGACACTAATTTGAAATCCACAAATTAGTTAAATTGGTTGAGTCCAGATCTAATTTCAGCACAAATGGACTATGAAATTAGAAATACAGGCACAATAAAATTTGTCCAGTTGATAAAGAGGTATCTGTATTGCACAGAGTCCGTTTTCCGTCAAATTCATGCTTTTGATAAATGCTAGGGTGTAAAAGACAGACTGCCCTTATCTGAGGCCTGTGCAAACAGCACTCCTTGTGCTACAACTGTTAGAGGTTATTATGAGGTTGTAGGACACAAGTACGATGTAGAACACAAGTATGATGTAGGACACAAGTACGATGTAGAACACAAGTACGATGTAGGACACAAGTACGATGTAAGACACAAGTACGATGTAGGACACAAGTACGATGTAGGACACAAGTACGGTGTAGAACACAAGTACGATGTAGGACACAATACGATGTAGGACACAAGTACGATGTAGGACACAAGTACGATGTAGGACACAAGTACGGTGTAGGACACAAGTACAATGTAGGACACAAGTACGATGAAGGACACAAGTATGATGTAGTACGATGTAGGACACAAGTACGATGTAGGACACAAGTACGATGTAGGACACAAGTATGATGTAGGACACAAGTACGATGAAGGACACAAGTACGATGTAGGACACAAGTACGATGTAGGACACAAGTACGATGTAGGACACAAGTACAGTATAAGGCAGGGAAACACTTCTTAGGTAGAACATGCTGCCAAGTGTACAATGTAGATAAATATTTAACATGAAAACATGAGCTTATGTTCACCCTGAAGGAAATGATGACAAGACAGTAGTGTCCTCAGCATCTACATTCAAATATGGCTGACATTACAGATGCAGCCCTAAACAAAATGACACTGGTACTTTACAGCGCTGCATTTAGAAAATGACATTTATCCAACATTGTCTATCTGCTCAGGCCATAACAAAGGCTCCAAAATGGTTTACAAGAAATGTGTAGGCATAAAAATAATCTCAAATTGGAAATGTAAAAATGTACAAATTTACCTCACCTGTTCATTTGTACCAAGGTTCACATTTGCAGGCTTCAAAATATGTTCTACACATTGGGGACACTTTGTGAGCTCTACTGTACCTTTATAAACCTATTCATTGGGATCGCTATTAAGTAAGAGACTTCTTTCTATAGGCATTAAAACCTATTGTGAGGTTTTACTTTCCAGTCGGGTTAAATCTCATAAACAGGGACGTTGTAATGTCCCAGGGATTTTATAGGATATTCAAGTCATATTTGCCATAATATCCCAGGGATTTTATATAATGTCCTGGGTATTTTATTAATATAACTTCCGTTCAGATTGTAACATGTAATGAAATGTAAAATCAAATGACAAATGTTTTCTATATACTCCCGAGGATCGAACTCGCAACCTTCATATCTGTAGCCCAGTGAGTGTACCACGAGGCTACAGAGGTGTTGATAAGCCACACTGGTTTTTAGAATGTCCTTTTCTAGATCCGTACGCCAGCAACAGATATTTTACGTGTGTTTCCTAAGGTTCATGGAAAGTATGTTCGAAACATAAAAATGTTGATAAATGTTGTTTTAAGTTTCTTTTTTCAGTTTATAAGTATGGAAAAACACTTTCCCTCGGTTTTGGTAGACAGAGCATGCCCTTGGGGTTGCCCCCTTGGTTTTTCCCTCTCCCCAGGGCATGCTCCGTCTACCAAAACCTTGTAAGCGTGTTTTCTCCAATACATAAAGACCCAGGTTCACATTTGCAGGCCTCAAAATACTTTCTACACATTGGGGGCACTTTGTAAGCTCTACTGTACCTATAAAGACCCAGGTTCCCATTTGCAGGCCTCAAAATACGTTCTACACATTGGGGACACTTTGTAAACTCTACTGTACCTATAAAGACCCAGGATCACATTTGCAGGCCTCAAAATAAGTTCTACACATTGGGGACACTTTGTAAACTCTACTGTACCTATAAAGACCCAGGTTCACATTTACAGGCCTCAAAATACTTTCTACACATTGGGGGCACTTTGTAAGCTCTACTGTACCCACTAAGACCCAGGTTCACATTTGCAGGCCTAACTATAGTTTCTACACTGGTTACCCTGAAAGAGCTGGGTCAAGGATGAGTTAGGTTTAACACTGCTCTGCTCTGAGCAATATTTCAGTTCAATGTGAGAGAAAAGCCCAAGCAGCTAGTAGTCCATTGCAAACATTTCTTTGTTGCTAACAGACCAAAGGTCATAATCAGTGAGACTGATTTTGGTGTCAAACGCATGTAAAAAACATGCTCAAATTGCTGTATCTGATGCCTTCTCAATCATTCCCTGGCTGATAGCCTCATGATAACTCGGTGGCGGCACTAGAGGTAGATGTTGAGGAATCTGTGACACAGGCGGGGTGGTCAGATCTGTGTACATCGGCGGTGGTGCACTGGGATTCAAGGTATGTGTGGGAGTGCTGGTTTGAAGAAATGGGGCTGCGGATTCTCTCCCTTGGTAGTTTGGATATTGAGAGACTGGCACGGTCAGCGGTTGTGGTGTAAGATTTGGTTGCCTTTTAGACCTTGTATAACAGTAGATTGCAACAATAACTATCACTATCACGCCGACGACTACACACGATATTGCAGCTACTGGTGCTCCTGATGATGTTTCAATTTTGGCAGTATCAGTGTCTTCTGAATAATAAACTGAAAAGGATCAAAAGGTTATTTTTCAAATAAAGATAAAGAGTATAACATTCAGGAATTTCAGCTTCAACTACAGTGAACATGGTATGTATTGTTGCTAAGGGCAGAGTAGCAGAGTGTTGGGAAGATCAGACTTATATTTGTTGGTTTACAGAAATTTGTTAAAATTCCTGGTTCACAGGTGGATCATTCTCAGAAAATGTCAAATTTTCAAATGACAAATAATATCTCAAAATAGTTCTATTTTGAAATCACACAGATTCTATTATTATTGAAAATAACCATTTAATCATTGTAGAAAGTATTGATACCCATTGTAGAAAGTATTTATACCCATTGTAGAAAGCTAACAATAATCAGAATGGTCATCCTGTTACCATGGTTACCACAGATAAATTTGACACACAATTAAATAAGGATGTGATGAAATATATTTGATAAACATAAGATATTGTCCATAAACTAATTGATAATATTAATAAAATATGTACACTACAGGCATAATGTGAATGAGTATTGTGGATTTAGCATTGATATTTTGTGAATTTATTGTCATATAGCATTTACCATGTTATACACATAAATAAATACAACACTATAATTATTAAAAAATTTACAATAAAATGTATATTTAATTACTTATCCTATCTCATACAATACTATCACTTCTTTCTTCTTCAATCATGGTGTGGAAATGAACCTAAAACAAGCTTCTAGCTTCAAAAACACCTCACCCAAACACATCCCAGTCATGCCATGACCACAATTATAAACAATGGGTCGCTAGCTACCTGAATCTTGCGTTAACTGATCACATGATGTCCCCAGCACATTCATTCTGATTCTCAGAGTATACAAGCTGGGGTAACTGTTGGGGCGGTTGGGTAGCCCAGTGGTTAAAGCGTCCGCTCGTCACGCCGAAGACCCGGGTTCGATTCCCGACATGGGTACAATGTGTGAAGCCCATTTCTGGTGTCCCCCGCCGTGATATTGCTGGAATATTGCTAAAAGCGGCGTAAAACCATACTCACTCACTCACTGGTGTAACTGTGATGCAGGGATGGTTGGTGGGAGTTTAGCGAGCGTGTTGGCTGCCTGTTAGTAAGTCAGTGGAAATAACAAGGGACGAATCTTTAGACTGCAAAGTACAGCGATCAGTGGATGGTGGGGCGGCGCCAGGCATGGATACGTTGGCTACATGTGAACAGGCCGTGGTAGAAATAGAGGACCGAACCTGAGACTGTGTCTTAGTCTAACGATAGGGAGGTAATAGTCAACGATGGAGAGGATTTTATAGCCGATGATGAAGACAATGGTTTAGATTTGGAGTGTCGATCGGTATTGTGTTTTGACATATAGTTGGCAGTCTAGCTCCGAGACATGGATGCATTATTTACAGCGTTTGGTGAAAGCCAACACAATCACAATACAAGGCATGAGGGTCTGACGCTGAAAAAGTGTGTTTATACTTCTCGCATGTAGGATGAGCTTTATTATCCATATAAACGTCTTTGTTGAAAAAGAGTTTAGAGGCAAACTACAAAATGAAATGTATTCTCTTTAAATCAAACACATCTCCACACTCAGACGATAAAGAGAACGAGGGTGCTGGAAACGTCATGTGGTCAGTTTGCATGAAATTCAGGTCGTGAGCGACCCATTGTTTATGATGGTGGTCATTGGGACAACTGGGACGTGTTTGGGAGAGGTTTTTTTTGAAGCTGGAAACAGGTTTCAGGATCATTTCCACACCAGGATTGAAGAAGGAAGAAAAGCATAGTGTGTGACAGGATAAGTCTAAAATATTCTCATGTTTTCAATGACATTATGACACAAGGAAAGCCATAAGGGAGTTATGAATTTTTGTTGATCACAAACTTCTGTCCTCCGTAACAGGAAGGAAAGGGGCAATAACAGGAAAGACATGGAGTAACGGGAGGGACAAAATCAATCAAATCAAATCAGTGATTTCAGTTTTATCAAATTCAGTTTTCACCACAAAATATATCTCCATACACTTCACAATATATATATTTTTGAAACAAAACAATGATATTCCCTAAAAACATGTCACCAAGTTCCTTCTTCACATGCAAATAGTCATCATGCTCCATTGGGACAATGGAATGACCTGATTTGAGACCAAGATTTTGTTTATTATGTCTCATTTTGTTGTGATCTACGTGATCACCTACCATTGTAGACAGAAAATCAACCCACCATTGCAAAGACAGGAAAAAAACCCAGCCACAATTGTAAAGACAGGAAAAATTGACCCACCATTGTAAAGACAGGAAAAATTGACCCACCATTGTAAAGACAGGAAAAATCGACCCACCATTGTAAAGACAGGAAAAATTGACCCACCATTGTAAAGACAGGAATAAAATCAAGCCACAATTGTAAAGACAGGAAAAATTGACCCACCATTGTAAAGACAGGAAAAATCGACCCACCATTGTAAAGACAGGAAAAATCGACCCACCATTGTAAAGACAGGAAAAAAATCAACCCTCCAAAGTAAAGACAGGAAAAATCGACCCACCATTGTGAAGACAGGAAAAATTGACTCACCATTGTGAAGACAGGAAAAATCGACCCACCATTGTGAAGACAGGAAAAATCGACCCACCATAGTGAAGACAGGAAAAATTGACTCACCATTGTGAAGACAGGAAAACTTGACCCACCATTGTGAAGTCAGGAAAAATCGACCCACCATAGTGAAGACAGGAAAAATCGACCCACCATAGTGAAGACAGGAAAAATCGACCCACCATAGTGAAGACAGGAAAAATTGACTCACCATTGTGAAGACAGGAAAAATTGACCAACCATTGTGAAGTCAGGAAAAATCGACCCACCATAGTGAAGACAGGAAAAATTGACTCACCATTGTGAAGACAGGAAAAATCCACCCACTATTTTAAAGACAGGAAGCAGCAAAAGCATGCTACCCAAAAAGAAATGATGCACTTCGTTTGGCTTTTCAATTATCTTTTAATTGTATCATATGACAGCTGTGAATCTCTCAATCATGCATGAATATTGTGGTTAAACTTACCTTCGTCTTCAATGGTCTGATAGTCTAGCTTGAATCCCTTTCCTATTCCATACTCATTGGTTGAAAACACAATAGTTATGAACTGACTCTCACTGACGAATGTTGATGTCATGTTGTTGCATAAAATCATGTCTGGCTTTTTGTCAAGATCAGACACTATCCCTGAAATGACATTGTATTAAAATGATTTTTTAGCAGACCACCAGCAATATAATACATTTCTTAAATTAAAGCTGCATGAAAATATTAAATGTTTCTTGGGCATATTTCTCAAATGTGAAGAGAGAGTTAAGACTGTATATCTTTTCCTGGCCACCAAACACAACGGGGCACATATTGAACTAGCGCTGCAAGACAATGTCAGTTGTCAAGCTTCTTATATTAATGATAGCTGAGGACATACATGTATTGAATTTGCTGCGTGCGTGCGTGCGTGCGTGCGTGCGTGCGTGCATGCATGCGGTGGTGCGTATATTTTGTTTTCAATCATTTTGTCAAAATCATGTTGTTCTTAAGTATTGAATTTTATTGCCAGGGTCGTGTTCGAGATGCGGAATATTAAAAGATTGTTGTTTTGGAAAATGGAAAATGGAAATGGGTACATTGAAATTTCGCACCAAAAATATCCTTTTCTGAGGACATAATCCGAATCCCTGAATCCCTACATAATCTGTGTAACTGAATATTGAGGTATGTTATAGATTTGAAACCTATACGGCTACTCACCATGATAATAACTGATGCTGTCATAACACTCCGGCTCTGTGTGAAGGTCCATTTCAACCACTGTAATCCTGACTCTGCCTAAATACGTGTCAGCCTGCATTTGCCACACACATTCTATTCGGCTGTAACATAAAATAACAATTCGTCAAATCTTATTAAAATCAGATCTTTTACTCCAAAACCTCTCTGCTTGAAGATGTGAGAACACCTCCATTGAAGTTCCTATGACGCGACCTCCGATCTTCACGTAGAGAGGTATTGTATTATGAGCTCACAAGTATTATGACTCTGTAAATAGGTGGCATGTAGCCTTGTCTGTCAATGTGTCACACTTTCCATTCCAGTAATATAGTCGTTCAAACTTTAACAGCTCACAAAACTCCAATATTCAGCAACGACACTAAGAGTTGTTTGTTCACGACTGCACTACCAGATCTAGACTAACATCTAGTCTCTGAAATGAACATATCGTACAGAAAAAACAGTTGCTCAGTTATCTTAATAAAAATATAATAAAAAGGGAGCCCAGTGATTCTCTTCATTTACTGCAGTAATCTAGACTTGCCAAACATTAGACTTGCATGGGCTGTATTTGATTTATATTTGTATCAGGGTCTGTAAGACAGACTATACCAGATCACTCAAAGTAAACATTTCCGATACGAATCATTCGAAAACTCTGCAGAAGTGTGACTGATTTCTGATTATGTGGCCCAAAATAGCCCAAATGTGAACAATAACATTCCCTATCTCTAGCGTAAAACGCTGTGAGTAGATCATGGTTGTCTTTTCTTATTCCGGTGGTGACCTTGCCAGTCATTCGAAGCTGTCACTGACATGCAAGCATGAGTTTGTGGATTTTCACGTCATCAGTATAGGGTGGTACAGTTAACATGAATGTCTATGGCAAACACTCTAATTTCCCTCTTCCAAATGGTACGGACATGATATTAATTCAGCTGATAGATCATTTTGACTGTACAGCTGGGACACCGACAGTGCGAGTGACCGACTGTTATCCTATATTCAAAGCCTTGCACTAATGTGACTTTTCAAATTTTCCTATAGGTGTCCTGCCTACTAACAACATGGCGTTTGAATTATCATAAGTTGAAAAAAATCTTTCAAAAAGATCTTGAGAATCGGTGCTGTTATGTTTGCAAACACAACTGCAGGCACATGTTATAAATGTGTATGCATAGAAATGTCAACAATGCCCATATTTGTGCACACACTTGTCAATATTCATGCGCAACCAGATTTTGCAACCGGTTTCAGTTTGGTCTGTCAACATTCACATCTCCTTGGAAACCACTCCCACTAATCTGCAGCATTCACCAATATTCCAGCTACATGTATATGATGATGGTCTGAACTTAATCAAGTCTGAGTGAGTGAGTGAGTGAGTTTGGTTTAACGCCGCTTTTAACAGTATTCCAGTTATATCACGGCGTGTCAGCTTAATGTGGGAGGAAAGCCCAAAGTTATACAGGTCTAAGACGTTTACCACTTCGATGAAACCCATGAGCATGGGTATGGTGCTGACAAACCTAGAAACATAATCGGGGCGAACCGGGATTTGAACCCTAATCAAGTCTGGACCAGACAATCCAGCGATTGATATTAAGAGCAATGATCAATGCTGTCGTGGCACAAAGACTCGGTGTCAAGCAAGCCACCAAGTCTGACCATCTGATCCACTGAGTTACGACAAAATGTTTGATTGACTTGGACAAGAGCACATGTATTCTTATCATCCAAAACTGGCTCCCACAGGAGATATCGCTTGGATGAGATCAAGCGATATCCACACTTTAGATATCGCTTCACTGCAATTACATCACAATGCTTTGCAGCCAATTGTGACATCACTGGTTACCATGATGTCACAATCAAATGACATCACTAATGGCTCTGCTACTGAAGCTGATAGCAGTACTTTTTACACTGAAGACACTGGTAATTACTGTCTACATATTGAAAAAGTTGAAAGAATTATGTTGAATGATAAATAAAATCTCACCCTCGTGTCTTTTGATATCAAATATATAAACATTCGTTGATAAAAGTGGCAAAAATCCTCAGCAAGCCTCGGAATTTTTCCACTTTTATCAACTCGTGTTGAGATATTTGATATCAAAAGACACTCGGGTGAGATTCTCTATCTCCACTACAGATACTCACTCTGGGTAAAGGTCGGGGTAGCCTGGAGACGTCAATGTATGTTTGATGTCTTCAGCTGTCAGATATCCCTTAATGTCACCTCCAATGTCATTCTCATTTCTGTAACAAGCTGTTGCCAACAAGGAAACAAAATATTATTAATTGTAATTAAACTATTCACTAATCATGCTAACTTAAATAAACATTTGTAAGTCCTCATGACTATGACAGACAGTAGTATTTCGAAATGACTTTGGCTACAGACACTGTTGTTTAACACAGCAATATTCCAGCTATATGACAGCGGTCTGAAAAATAATCGGGTCTGGAGCAGACAATCCATTGATTGACATCATGAGCATTGATCCATGCAATTGTGATACAATGACATGCATCAACCAAGTCAGCAAGCCTGACCACCCGATCGCGTTAATCGCCTCTTACGACAAGCATAGTCGCTTTTTATGGCAAGCATTGGTTGCTGAAGACCTATTTTAGCCCTGATGTTCACGGGTCCTATCATAATGGGACTTGGTTGTTACAGGAAGGTCACCTATCCCTGATTACATGGACATCAGTACCCTACCTTTGTTCACAAACCCTATGAACTTGATTGAGAAGGATACAGGCTGTGCAGCCTGGCCCTGGCTATTCAACTTGAAGGATATGTGGTTGCCAGAGCTCATGAAGGTGTAATTTTTCTTTTGGCCACAAATATCCCAGGAACCTTCATCATTGGACAAACCCGTACTTTTACCTATAAAACAAAAGTAGAGCAACATGGATTTGTAGCTTTCTTGACTATTTGCAATATCAATTCATTAACATGATTACAATCAATTATCACAGGTACACAAATACATGAAGAAATGTATCTATACAACAGATATGCTAACTGCATATACATTAATGAATGGCTGTGTCTAGAGTTATCGTTGCTCTTTCAACATAGCAGACAAAAAGGTACATGAAGGTCAAGGATGAAAGAAAATGGTGCAACAAATTTTTTTAAATAGTGCTGTGGCCACTGTAGTTTTTTTTACCTGGATGGATATGTAGCCAACAGTCTAAAATGGCCATAAATAAATTTTACAATATGGCTGCTGAAACAAATGCAGGTGTGGAATCATTGGTAGAAACAAACTTTGTGATGTTTCAGCTTCAGAGGTTCTGTGATTTCTGAGGTAATGTTAACAGTGCATGGAAATGCATTCTGGGAAAATTTAGGAGCATGTTCAATGTTCCCAGTTCGAATAAAGAACAAAATTCAAAATATCACGAAAAACAGAACATTGTGTGGAGCCCCAGTGTTAACTACACAAAAACCAAATGTCATGACATTTTGAACAAATATGGCTGAGTATAAAATAATAGCCATTAGACATTTTCAGCTTTCAGTATGTACACAATACAAAGCTCAAGTAAAGTGAGTGAGTTGGGTGTAACGCCGCTTTTAACAGTATTCCAGTTATATCACGGCGTGTCAGCTTAATGTGGGAGGAAAGCTTGCAGTGATGAAGGTCTCAGACGTTTACCACTTTGGTGAAACCCACAAGCACGGGCATGGTGCTGTCAAACCTAGAAACATAATCGGGGCGAACCAGGATTCGAATGCTCAATCATAGGTTTCTTGCATGCCCAAGGGACACAACTCTGCACAGTGAATTGCGGCGCCTTAGACAATTGGGCCACCCATGCCCCTATCTCAAGTAAAGAACAAAAAATAACAATGTTGCAAAAAAAAAAGAACACTACTAACTACACGTGTACCTTAGCCATAGTAATACCATGAACAGTTTGTGTGGCGGCAATATTGAAAATCGGATTCCAGCTTCATGAACAAATTGGCATGTGATCATTAGTGGGAATAATCTTGTGAAGTTTCAGCTTCATTGGTTCTGAGGAAAAGATGCTTACAATGATGGTTTGTATTTTCCAATTTCTTTCACTGGTATAGCCATATTCGATTTCTGATGAAGATTTCGTGAAGGAACTTGGTGCTACAAGTTTCCAAGTTTGCCAAGTTTCAGGCCTATTTGGAGAAGACGATTTTGTACTTCTTTTTGCTTTACTACTCCTACTCAGTAACACAACAGCTTTAGAAGTGAGGTGAAGTGAAATAGGGTTTAACGCCGCGTCGCGTTATTGCACTTACATAGCGACGTGCATGCACACACGTATGTGTGTGTGTGTGGCTGCTTGTTCTAGTCCTGACTACTGCTGATTTATAATGCTAGCCCACTGAGATACCATGCTGCAGTTTAACATGAATGCCCCACTCAGACACAGTATACTGACTCCGAGCAGGTCCATACTTGTTTTAGCCCCTTAATGCCAAGCGCCAGGTGGGGTAACAAGTACCAATTCCTAATGTCTTTTGGTATGATCAGCCGGGGTGTTAGGACCAACAACCTTCTGCTCTCCGGGGTGCACGGGTGGCCCAGTCGTCTAAGGCGCCACGATTCGCTGTGCAGAGTTGCGTCCCTTGGGCACGCCAGAAACCTATGATTGTGGGTTCGAATCCTGGTTCGCCTAAATTATGTTTTTAGGTTTGTCAGCACCATACCTGTGCTCGTGGGTTTCACCGAAGTGGTAAACGTCTAAGACCTGCATCACTTCGGGCTTTCCTCACACATAAGGCTGACACGCTGCGATATAACTGGAATACTGTTAAAAACGGCGTTAAACCCAACTCACTCACTCTGCTCTCCATGCGGACACTCTACCACCAGACCACGGAGACAGTCCACTTGATCTAGACTACACACCATACAGAGCAACACAACAGCTGCAACCATCACCCTCCTCACAGGGTTGTGTCTGTGTTCTACTAATGGATGTAACGCTGCTCACCATCATGCACTGTTATCCTACTATTCTTGCAGTCAACTGCAAGTCCTCTGAAGGACACCAGCACTTTGTAGCCTCTATCGGTCTTGATTTGCCACTCGCAGGTAATTGGACTGATGAAAGTAGAAAACAAACATTTGTTTTATTGGTCTCCATTTTGCAATTTTATGAAGAAGTATTAGAGAATTAAGGATTTGCAAAGCATGTGTACCATCAGTTGGGCGTTGCAAATCTTTTCATGTTTTTAATTACGGTGCTCAAGTGATTTCAAGTGATGGCACTTCGTGGGGTTAGGCCCATTTGATTACAATATAGAACTCGATTATCGATCAGATTTTCGTGACTGGGTGCTGCCATTTTGTTTGGAGCAAATGCAAGTGATATGAGAGATGGAATCTGACTGGTCAATAGGGGGGACATAACTTGTAATAGCCACTGGTCACTGTCATATAGTGTATACTGTAGAGAGATAATTATGATAAATATCCAAAACATATTGAAATAATAGGTTTTACAACAGATATGTTTTATACATACTGATTGATTGGGTAAGCTTTTCCAAATTTGAATATCCTGTTACGACCAATTCTTGCTGTTAAAACTTCCCCGCACATTGCTGAAAGAGACAAATTAACAGTTATCCAGGCATTTCATGATTTTACAGGACTTTGAGTTGAGCAAAGAATTAATCCCATGTACACATCATCACATTCTAAATGTTATGGACAAAACTTGTAATATAGGCCTCATTTAGCTGCTACTGGCATGACTTGGGTGAACATAGCATAACATTAGTGTTATAGATTTTAAAGGAAAAAATATTGTTTCCAATGCAATAATATTTCAGTTGTATATGGCATCCTGTAAATCAGAGCATGTCTGCCAATGGTAATGCTTTGTACATTGGTCTAGTGGAGTGAGTGAGTGGGTGGGTGGGTGGGTGAGTGAGTGAGTGAGTGAGTGGGTGTTTGTGTGGGTGAGTGAGTGAGTGAGTGAGTGGGTGTTTGTGTGGGTGAGTGAGTGAGTGGGTTGGTGGGTGGGTGGGTGTTTGTGTAGGTGAGTGAGTGAGTGGGTGGGTGTTTGTGTAGGTGAGTGAGTGAGTGAGTGAGTGAGTGAGTGAGTGGGCGGGTGTTTGTGTGGGTGAGTGGGTGAGTGAGTGAGTGAGTGAGTGGGTGGGTGTTTGTGTGGGTGAGTGAGTGAGTGGGTGGGTGGGTGTTTGTGTGGGTGAGTGAGTGAGTGGGTGGGTGGGTGAGTGAGTGAGTGGATTGGTGGGTGGGTGGGTTAGTGAGTGAGTGAGTGAGTGAGTGAGTGAGTGAGTGGGTGTTTGTGTGAGTGAGAGGGTGGGTGTTTGTGTGAGTGAGTGAGTGAGTGAGTGAGTGAGTGAGTGAGTGAGTGGTAGCCATGTGTAGTGAGTGAGCTGGGTTTTACGCCACTTTTAGCAATATTCCAGCAATATCATGGCTGAGCACCAAACATGGGCTTCACACATTGTACGCTTATGGGGAATCACACCTGGGCCTTTGGTGTAACGTGTGAACTGTTTAACCACAAGGATACCCCACAGCCCCGTAGCCAGGTATAGATGCAACAAGGCCTACTTGAGGCCTAGTTAGGCTAGTGCTTATTGTGTAAGTGTAGGCATTCCAGGGCCATACAGGTCCCCAGTGATCCATGCTGTCATAAGGGCTGCCTGAAATGAGGATCAGTGGTCACAATGTGTGATGGTGGTTCTATGTCATCAGAGACCCAGACTGGCTCTCTTCCTTATGTGTGTCACTTCTAAATGCCTATCAAAGACCTGTATTCGTCATGATTAAATAATATTTATATAACTTATTTAAAAGGACATAGAAACAAGCAACTAGTCAACATTTGGTTACAGTCCAACAGTTCTCACCTAACTATATTACAAGCAAAGTCACTTGCCTCAGGGTACACCCAGTGTAACCTGCATTTCAGTTAGAAGGACACAATGTTCAAGTTGATAGAATGCTGACCTACATTGTTGGTACCTATTACAAGGTTACGACTCCTATTGAAGTAGGGTAAGTCTTACCATTTTTGCTTGTTTGTTTGTTTGTTTGTTGTTTAACGCCACACTCAGCTATATTCCAGCTATATGACGGCGGTCTGTTAATAATCGAGTCTGGACCAGACAATCCAGTGATTGACATCATGAGCATCCATCCATGCAACAGGGATATGGTGACATGCTCCAACCAAGTCAGCGAGCCTGATCACCCGATCCCGTTAGTCACCTCTTATGACAAGCATAGTCGCCTTTTACAGCAAGCATGGGTTGCTGAAGACCTATTCTACCCCGGATACTTACCATCTTTGGCACGTGCTTTGAATCCTATATGATGTATAGAGTTGTCATGACTCACAAACACTAGATAGAGACTTCCCAGCAGGCTACGCAATGTTGCCGTGTCATAACGACACAGCTTCATTAACAACGGCCCTTGTTCGGAGTCTCCTAGTGGAAGAGGAAAAAGAGGAAGAGTTAGATAAGTTCACATCACTTTCAAGCACCTGTTAGTGATGCTGACATTTTGTAGTTGGTTCATGATGAGGATCAAATTCTGTATCTAGCTAAAAAATTCAAGACGGTCCGTCCCCTCTCACGGGGTAAAAGACGATACTAACTTGCTTAAACCAAAGAATTCTATAAGTCAATGAGTATTTTTTTACACCACTTTTAGCAAAATCACCACGGGCGACACCAGAAATGGGCTTCACACATTGTACCCAAGATGGGAATCGAACCCGGATTTTTGGCGTGACGAGCGAAAGCTTTAACCACTAGGCTACCCGACCGCCCCAAGAATTTGATGAAACCTGAATGTCTATGCATTGTTGGATAATAGTCTGAATGGTCTGTCTATTCAGAAGTACCACATGCCTATTGATTGTAGAAAATAGGTTACGTACCATCATAAACAAGAATATATTCTTTATTGCAGTAATAGCCCATGCCTGTAAACGTGAAAGTCAAGACAGGAGATTCGTTGCGTGTTCCTGCCCGTATGAGATATGTGCACCTCTGAAAACTAATAACAGAAAGTCAAATATAAACTGAAAGTATCACAGAAAATGACAGAAATGACAGTATAACAGGAATTAACATACAGTCAAACATAATCAGAAAGAATAACAGAAACATACAGTCAAACATAATCAGAGAGTGTAATAGAAACTGTCAAAATTACCAAGAAAGTGTAACAGAAACAGTCAAACATATTCTGAAACTATAACAGAAAGAGTCAAACATAATCAGAGAGTGTAACAGAAACAGTCAAACATACCAAGAAAGTGTAACAGAAACAGTGAAACATAATTGGAAAGTGTAACAGAAGCAGTCAAACATAATCAGAAAGTATAACAGAAACAGTCAAACATACCAAGTAAGTGTAACAGAAACAGTCAAAAAGAATCAGAAAGTATAACAGAAATAGTCAAACAGAACCAGAAAGTATACCAGAAAGAGTCAAACATAATCAGAAGGTATACCAGAAACAGTCTAACAGGATCAGAAAGTATAACAGAAACAGTCAAACATATATAATCAGAAAGTAAAACAGAAACAAACAGTCAAACAGAATCAGAAGGAATAACAGAAACAGTCAAACAGAATCAGGAAGTATAATAGAAACAGTCAAACATAATCAGGAAGTATTAAAGAAACAGTCAAACATAATCAGAAAGTATAACAGAAAAAGACAGTCAAACATAATCAGATATGGTTGATGATAGCAACCTGGGATATGGTTGACGGTAGCTACTGGGATATGGTTGATGAAAGTTACCTGGGATATGGTTGATGATAGCTACATGGGATATGGTTGATGATAGTTACCTAGGATATGGTTGATGATAGTTACCTGGGATATGGTTGATGATAGCTACCTGGGACATGGTTGATGATAGTTACCTGGGATATGGTTGATGATAGCTACCTGGGATATGGTTGATGATAGTTATCTGGGATATGGTTGATGATAGCTACCTGGGATATGGTTGATGATAGTTACACGGGATATGGTTGATGATAGTTACCTGGGACATGGTTGATGATAGTTACATGGGATATGGTTGATGATAGCTACCGGGGATATGGTTGATGATAGTTACATGGGATATGGTTGATGATAGTTATCTGGGATATGGTTGATGATAGCTACCTGGGATGTGGTTGATGATAGTTACCTGAGATATGGTTGATGATAGCTACCTTGGATATGGTTGATGATAGTTACCCGGGATATGGTTGATGATAGTTACATGGGATATGGTTGATGATAGTTACCTGGGATATGGTTGATGATAGTTACCTAGGATATGGTTGATGATAGTTACCTGGGATATGGTTGATGATAGCTACCTGGGACATGGTTGATGATAGTAACCTGGGATATGGTTGATGATAGTTACCCGGGATATGGTTGATGATAGTAAGCTGGGATATGGTTGATGATAGCTACCTGGGACATGGTTGATGATAGTTACCTGGGATATGGTTGATGATAGTTACCCGGGATATGGTTGATGATAGTTACCTGGGATATGGTTGATGATAGTTATCTGGGATATGGTTGATGATAGCTACCTGGGATATGGTTGATGATAGTTACCTGGGATATGGTTGATGATAGTTAACCGGGATATGGTTGATGATAGTTACCCGGGATATGGTTGATGATAGTTACCCGGGATATGGTTGATGATAGCTACCTGGGATATGGTTGATGATAGCTACCTGGGATATGGTTGATGATAGTTACCCGGGATATGGTTGATGATAGTTACCTTTGATATGGTTGATGATAGCTACCTGGGATATGGTTGATGATAGTTATCTGGGATATGGTTGATGATAGTTACATGGGATATGGTTGATGATAGTTACCCGGGATATGGTTGATGATAGCTACCTGGGATATGGTTGATGATAGAGTTACCTTGGATATGGTTGATGATAGCTACCTGGGATATGGTTGATGATAGTTACCTGGGATATGGTTGATGATAGTTACACGGGATATGGTTGATGATAGTTACCTGGGATATGGTTGATGATAGTTACCCGGGATATGGTTGATGATAGCCACCTGGGATATGGTTGATGATAGTTACCTGGGATATGGTTGATGATAGTTACCTAGGATATGGTTGATGATAGTTACCTGGGATATGGTTGATGATAGTTACCTAGGATATGGTTGATGATAGTTACCTTGGATATGGTTGATGATAGCTACCTGGGATATGGTTGATGATAGTTACCTTGGATATGGTTGTGGATAGTTACCCGGGATATGGTTGATGATAGCCACCTGGGATATGGTTGATGATAGTTACCTGGGATATGGTTGATGATAGTTACCCGGGATATGGTTGATGATAGTTACCCGGGATATGGTTGATGATAGTTACCCGGGATATGGTTGATGATAGTTACCCGGGATATGGTTGATGATAGTTACCCAGGATATGGTTGATGATAGCTACCTGGGATATGGTTGATGATAGTTATCTGGGATATGGTTGATGATAGTTACCCGGGATATGGTTGATGATAGTTACCCGGGATATGGTTGATGATAGTTACCCAGGATATGGTGGTGGATAGTTACATGGGATATGGTTGATGATAGTTACCTGGGATATGGTTGATGATAGTTACATGGGATATGGTTGATGATAGCTACCGGGGATATGGTTGATGATAGTTACCTGGGATATGGTTGATGATATTTATCTGGGATATGGTTGATGATAGTTACCCGGGATATGGTTGATGATAGTTATCTGGGATATGGTTGATGATAGCTACCTGGGATATGGTTGATGATAGTTACCTGGGATATGGTTGATGATAGCTACCTGGGATATGGTTGATGATAGTTACCTGGGATAAGGTTGAGGGTAGTTCTTTGAATACACAGAACGAAATGTCTTGTCATTTGAATCCAATTCCTTATGGCACGTACCTGGGAGAAGTGGGGAGGATATTTTGTTATATCAATTTAATACACAAATTAAAACATTACTCCTTTTGTCAAAAAAACATTATAACCAGTAACAGTAACAGTAAACCATTAACAAAACAAATGAACATATCCGTATAATACATCAGTTGTTGTCTTCACAAGCAAAACATCTACACATCATATATTTTCGTATTGTCACTATATGAGATTAATCCTTTCTACTGTCTACAATCAGCCTTGTCCAACCATCAATCATCTCTCACACCATCAGCTTTGTCCAACCATCAATCATCTCTCACACCATCAGCTTTGTCCAACCATCAATCATCTCTCACACCATCAGCTTTGTCCAACCATCAATCATCTCTCACATCATCAGCCTTGTTAAACCATCAATCATCTGTTACACCATCATCTCTGTCAAACCATCAATCATCTGTAACACCATCAGCCTTGTCAAACCATCAATCATCTGTTACACCATCATCCTTTTCAACCCATCAATCATCTGTTACACCATCAGCCTCGTCAAACCATCAATCATCTGTTACACCATAATCCTTGTTACACCATAATCCTTGTTAAACCATCAATCATCTGTTACACCATCAGCCATGTCAAACCATCAATCATCTGTTACACCATCAGCCATATCAAACCATCAATCATCTCTCACACCATCAGCCTTGTCAAACCATCAATCATCTGTTACACCATCAGCCTTGTCAAACCATCAATCATCTGTTACACCATCAGCTAGCCTTGTCAAACCATCAATCATCTGTTACACCATCAGCCTTGTCAAACCATCAATCATCTGTTACACCATCAGCCATGTCAAACCATCAATCATCTGTTACACCATCAGCCATGTCAAACCATCAATCATCTGTTACACCATCAGCCTTGTCAAACCATCAATCATCTGTTACACCATCAGCTATGTCAAACCATCAATCATCTGTTACACCATCAGCCTTGTCAAACCATCAATCATCTGTTACACCATCAGCTAGCCTTGTCAAACCATCAATCATCTGTTACACCATCAGCCTTGTCAAACCATCAATCATCTGTTACACCATCAGCCATGTCAAACCATCAATCATCTGTTACACCATCAGCCATGTCAAACCATCAATCATCTGTTACACCATCAGCCTTGTCAAACCATCAATCATCTGTTACACCATCAGCTATGTCAAACCATCAATCATCTGTTACACCATCAGCCTTGTCAAACCATTAATCATCTCTCACACCATCAGCCTTGTCAAACCATCAATCATCTGTTACACCATCATCCTTGTCAAACCATCAATCATCTCACACCATCAGCCTTGTCAAACCACCGATCATCTGTTACACCATCAGCCTTGTCAAACCATCAATCATCTGTTACACCATCATCCTTGTCAAACCATCAATCATCTCTCACACCATCAGCCTTGTCAAACCATCTTTAAAGAGAGTTAACTGACTATAAAAGTCCAGTTTCCACCCGTGCCGAACTAGTCTGGTATTATGGAGTTACATTTTGGTTGGACCAACGAGTCTATGCATAGTCCAATCAAAATCTCGCAACAAAATTGAAACCCAGTTCGTAAACTGTCTTGCAGATTTCGGTCGATTGCAGGATTTGCAAAGCATGTGCACTGCCAACTCGATGTCAACATATATTTTCTAAACCTTTTCACATTTTTAATCAAGGTGCTCGCGTGATTTAAGGCACTTCACGATGTAAGACCTGTTTTACCACAATATATATCTTGATTATTGATCAGATGGTCTTGACTGGGCACTGCCATTTTGTTTGAAACAAATGCAAGTTATGGAATCGGATTGGTCCATAGGAGGGGCTCAGAAGGGACATAACTCATATAACCACTGGAGGCGCTACGATCGAGCCCAGGAATTCCAGCCTAGTTCGGCAAGGGTGGAAACTGGACTTCTATAGTCAGTTAACCCTCTTGTCTCAGGAAGATGCTTAAAGACTTGACTTACCATCAATCATCTGGAAGGCCATCTTGAAGCCTTGTTTTTCCTGTGAAGGAACAGATCCAGACCTGAACACAACCAAGATATATGGGATGAAGAACTCGTGTGTTCTGTTCTCAATCCTGCCACACAGAACTGCTAGTGTTGTATTTTCTGGCGATGTGACTGTTAACACATGGTAAAACATTCCTGGTTAGAGCAAGATAGGGCTGAGACGAGTCCAAACTTACTCCCCGTGTACCCACCCCCCTATTACCCTACCCGCTGTAGGTCCCAAGACATAGGTACAAAATGTCCGACTGGGAAACTTTTGACAGTACTCCTGTCAAAATGTATTTAGATACTCGTATAAACCGATCAGGTCATGCATACACTATTCTAACCTGGAATCCCCATGGCACGACCAGCACAGGTTGATGGAGACCTATTCTAACCTGGAATCCCCATGGTACAACCAGCATAGGTTGATGGGGACCTATTCTAACCTGGAATCACCATTGTACGACCAGCATAGGTTGATGGGGACCTATTCTAACCTGGACTCCCCATGGTACAACCAGCATAGGTTGATGGAGACCTATTCTAACCTGGAATCCCCATGGTACGACCAGCATAGGTTGATGGGGACCTATTCTAACCTGGAATCCCCATGGTACAACCAGCATAGGTTGATGGAGACCTATTCTAACCTGGAATCCCCATGGTACACCCAGCATAGGTTGATGGGGACCTATTCTAACCTGGAATCCCCATGGTACAACCAGCACAGGTTGATGGGGACCTATTCTAACCTGGAATCCCCATGGTACAACCAGCATAGGTTGATGGGGACCTATTCTAACCTGGAATCCCCATGGTACAACCAGCATAGGTTAATGGGGACCTATTCTAACCTGGAATCCCCATGGTACAACCAGCACAGGTTGATGGAGACCTATTCTAACCTGGAATCCCCATGGTACGACCAGCACAGGTTGATGGAGACCTATTCTAACCTGGAATCCCCATGGTAGGACCAGCACAGGTTGATGGAGAGTTGATGGGGACCTATTCTAACCTGGAATCCCCATGGTACGACCAGCACAGGTTGATGGAGACCTATTCTAACCTGGAATCCCCATGGTATTAAACTCTTGTTAAATAGGGACATTGAGACATGTTTGATCAACAGTGTTCATGGTGGACACTAAGGTAAGAAATATATTTTTATATTATGATGCTCAACATCCTCCTAAAGTGTTTATTTGGAAGTCGAACTGCTACACTGACCAACGTGCAGATGGTCAATGCACATTTTCCAAAGCTCAGTAGGTGCTTTTCGCCTGTTGAGCTAAAAAGTCAAAAGTGCAGCATATACTTAATAATAATAATTAAGCGACAAATCCCTTTCCATATCCAACAGAAATATCTGCATAAAACAGAGTCGATTGTACAATTCCGACTATAACATGAGCATGTGTTTATGAATCACTATCAAACAATGATGATACCAGGTGTTTGCGAAAAGGAGAGTGTATCCTGCCCCACCGGTGGCACCCGTCACAGACACATATCAGTAATGTCAAATGTACTCCCAATATCAGCGATATTAAGTGTTCCCAGCATATTGTGATATATATAGCATATTGAGATTGATATAACCACAAACTCAGAATTGAATTTGTGCATATGAAACAAATAGTTTAGATTGATAAATGATCTTATAGGATCAACAAGCATATGTTTCATTCAGACATATCTTCAAATGAAAAATACTCACAAGCATACACCGTCACAGATTCTCTAATACAGTCTCTAGAATCTTCTATGTCCACATCAAATTGCAGTTTGATGGTTTTGTTCTGTTGGAACATGCTTGTCATATTCAGCTCCCACCAGCATTCCTTATTCCTGCAACATAGGTGACATGTGGAAAAACATCACAAACATACCAAACATCACAAACGTACCAAACATCACAAACATACCAAACATCACAAACATACCAAACATCACAAACATACCAAACGTACTAAACATCACAAACATACCAAACATCACAAACATACCAAACATACCAAACATCACAAACATACCAAACATCACAAACATACCAAACATCACAAACATACCAAACATCACAAACGTACTAAACATCACAAACATACCAAACATCACAAACGTACCAAACATCACAAACATACCAAACATAACATACCAAACATCACAAACATACCAAACATCACAAACATAACATACCAAAATTCACAAACATCACAAAACTCCAGCTTCTTTCTAGGCTCATGTAGCTCCAGACCAAAGGTTGACCAGACCTTGGCAGATTGTCATAGAAGAACTTAAGCATTCACAGTAATTCAACCATAACTGGAGAGTCATTTAGTTGGTTGGTTGTTTAACGCCACACATAGCAATATTCCAGCTATATGACGGCGGTCTGTAAATCATCGAGTCTTGACCAGACAATCCAGTGATTGATATCATGAGCATTGATCCACGCAATTGAGATCGATGACATGCATCACCCAAGTCAGCGAGCCTGACCACCGGATCACATTAGTCGCCTCTTACGACAAGCATAGTCGCCATTTACGGCAAGCATGGGTTGCTGAAGACCCATTCTACCCCAGATCTTCACGGGTCTGGAGAGCCATTTAAATTTTGACAGTAACTATTAGAAAGTAATGCATGTGGTCAACAGAAAAACAAATACATGTCCATGAAATCTCATTAAAATCTTATCTATTCATCACTCCGTCAAGAGCTGACAACCTCTATAGAAGGTCACATTAACTCTTTAAAACCATCTAGTTAATCTAAATTCCCTGATGAGCATATCTGATTCATGTATCTAAAAATGTAAGTTAACAAGAACCCAAATGCCATAGAATAACAGTGACCTGAAATTCCCTTGTGGAGACAGGCATGGGGTGCTGGGAACCTATTCTAATCTAGAATCCACTTGTGGAGACAGGCATGGGGTGCTGGGAACCTATTCTAATCTAGAATCCACTTGTGGAGACAGGCATGGGGTGCTGGGAACCTATTCAGACCTAGAATCCACTTGTGGAGACAGGCATGGGGTGCTGGGAACCTATTCTGACCTAGAATCCACTTGTGGAGACAGGCATGGGGTGCTGGGAACCTATTCTAATCTAGAATCCACTTGTGGAGACAGGCATAGGGTGCTGGGAACCTATTCTAATCTAGAATCCACTTGTGGAGACAGGCATGCGGTGCTGGGAACCTATTCTGATCTAGAATCCACTTGTGGAGACAAGCATGGGGTGCTGGAAACCTATTCAGACCTAGAATTCACTTGTGGAGACAAGCATAAGGTGCTGGGAACCTATTCTGACCTAGAATCCACTTGTGGAGACAGGCATGGGGTGCTGGGAACCTATTCTGACCTAGAATCCACTTGTGGAGACAAGCATAAGGTGCTGGGAACCTATTCTGACCTAGAATCCACTTGTGGAGACAAGCATAGGGTGCTTGGAACCTATTCTGACCTAGAATCCACTTGTGGAGACAGGCATGGGGTGCTGGTAACCTATTCTGATCTAGAATCCACTTGTGGAGACAAGCATAGGGTGCTTGGAACCTATTCTGACCTAGAATCCACTTGTGGAGACAGGCATAAGGTGCTGGAAACCTATTCTGACCTAGAATCCACTTGTGGAGACAGGCATAAGGTGCTGAGAACCTATTCTAATCTAGAATCCACTTGTGGAGACAGGCATAAGGTGCTGAGAACCTATTCTAATCTAGAATCCACTTGTGGAGACAAGTATGGGGTGCTGAGAACCTATTCTGATCTAGAATCCACTTGTGGAGACAGGCATAAGGTGCTGAGAACCTATTCTGATCTAGAATCCACTTGTGGAGACAGGCATAAGGTGCTGAGAACCTATTCTGACCTAGAATCCACTTGTGGAGACAGGCATAAGGTGCTGGAAACCTATTCTGACCTAGAATCCACTTGTGGAGACAGGCATAAGGTGCTGAGAACCTATTCTAATCTAGAATCCACTTGTGGAGACAGGCATAAGGTGCTGAGAACCTATTCTAATCTAGAATCCACTTGTGGAGACAAGTATGGGGTGCTGAGAACCTATTCTGATCTAGAATCTACTTGTGGAGACAGGCATAAGGTGCTGAGAACCTATTCTAATCTAGAATCCACTTGTGGAGACAGGCATAGGGTGCTGGTAACCTATTCTAATCTAGAATCCACTTGTGGAGACAAGTATGGGGTGCTGGGAACCTATTCTAATCTAGAATCCACTTGTGGAGACAGGCATGGGGTGCTGGAAACCTATTCTGATCTAGAATCCACTTGTGGAGACAGGCATGGGGTGCTGGGAACCTATTCTGATCTAGAATCCACTTGTGGAGACAGGCATAAGGTGCTGAGAACCTATTCTAATCTAGAATCCACTTGTGGAGACAGGCATAGGGTGCTGGTAACCTATTCTAATCTAGAATCCACTTGTGGAGACAAGTATGGGGTGCTGGGAACCTATTCTAATCTAGAATCCACTTGTGGAGACAGGCATGGGGTGCTGGAAACCTATTCTGATCTAGAATCCACTTGTGGAGACAGGCATAGGGTGCTGGGAACCTATTCTGACCTAGAATCCACTTGTGGAGACAGGCATGGGGTGCTGGAAACCTATTCTGATCTAGAATCCACTTGTGGAGACAGGCATGGGGTGCTGGGAACCTATTCTGATCTAGAATCCACTTGTGGAGACAGGCATAAGGTGCTGAGAACCTATTCTAATCTAGAATCCACTTGTGGAGACAGGCATGGGGTGCTGGGAACCTATTCTGATCTAGAATCCACTTGTGGGACAGGCATGGGGTGCTGGGAACCTATTCTGACCTAGAATCCACTTGTGGAGACAAGCATAGGGTGCTGGGAACATATTCCGATCTAGAATCCACTTGTGGGACAGGCATGGGGTGCTGGGAACCTATTCTGATCTAGAATTCACTTGTGGAGACAAGCATAGGGTGCTGGGAACCTATTCTGACCTAGAATCCACTTGTGGAGACAGGCATGGGGTGCTGGGAACCTATTCCGATCTAGAATCCACTTGTGGAGACAAGCATAGGGTGCTGGGAACCTATTCCAATCTAGAATCCACTTGTGGAGACAGGCATGGGGTGCTGGGAACCTATTCTGATCTAGAATCCACTTGTGGGGACAAGTTTGGGGTGCTGGGAACCTATTCTGATCTAGAATCCACTTGTGGAGACAGGCATAGGGTGCTGGGAACCTATTCTGATCTAGAATCCACTTGTGGAGACAGGCATAGGGTGCTGGGAACCTATTCTGACCTAGAATCCACTTGTGGAGACAGGCATGGGGTGCTGGGAACCTATTCTGATCTAGAATCCACTTGTGGAGACAGGCATAAGGTGCGGGGAACCTATTCTGACCTAGAATCCACTTGTGGAGACAGGCATGGGGTGCTGGAAACCTATTCTGATCTAGAATCCACTTGTGGAGACAGGCATGGGGTGCTGGGAACCTATTCTGATCTAGAATCCACTTGTGGAGACAGGCATAAGGTGCTGAGAACCTATTCTAATCTAGAATCCACTTGTGGAGACAAGCATGGGGTGCTGGGAACCTATTCTGATCTAGAATCCACTTGTGGGACAGGCATGGGGTGCTGGGAACCTATTCTGACCTAGAATCCACTTGTGGAGACAAGCATAGGGTGCTGGGAACATATTCCGATCTAGAAATCACTTGTGGGACAGGCATGGGGTGCTGGGAACCTATTCTGATCTAGAATTCACTTGTGGAGACAAGCATAGGGTGCTGGGAACCTATTCTAATCTAGAATCCACTTGTGGAGACAGGCATAAGGTGCTGAGAACCTATTCTAATCTAGAATCCACTTGTGGAGACAAGTATGGGGTGCTGAGAACCTATTCTGATCTAGAATCTACTTGTGGAGACAGGCATAAGGTGCTGAGAACCTATTCTAATCTAGAATCCACTTGTGGAGACAGGCATAGGGTGCTGGTAACCTATTCTAATCTAGAATCCACTTGTGGAGACAAGTATGGGGTGCTGGGAACCTATTCTAATCTAGAATCCACTTGTGGAGACAGGCATGGGGTGCTGGAAACCTATTCTGACCTAGAATCCACTTGTGGAGACAGGCATGGGGTGCTGGGAACCTATTCTGATCTAGAATCCACTTGTGGAGACAGGCATAAGGTGCGGGAAACCTATTCTGACCTAGAATCCACTTGTGGAGACAGGCATGGGGTGCTGGAAACCTATTCTGATCTAGAATCCACTTGTGGAGACAAGCATGGGGTGCTTGGAACCTATTCTGATCTAGAATCCACTTGTGGAGACAGGCATAAGGTGCTGAGAACCTATTCTAATCTAGAATCCACTTGTGGAGACAAGCATGGGGTGCTGGGAACCTATTCTGATCTAGAATCCACTTGTGGGACAGGCATGGGGTGCTGGGAACCTATTCTGACCTAGAATCCACTTGTGGAGACAAGCATAGGGTGCTGGGAACATATTCCGATCTAGAAATCACTTGTGGGACAGGCATGGGGTGCTGGGAACCTATTCTGATCTAGAATTCACTTGTGGAGACAAGCATAGGGTGCTGGGAACCTATTCTGACCTAGAATCCACTTGTGGAGACAGGCATGGGGTGCTGGGAACCTATTCTGATCTAGAATCCACTTGTGGAGACAAGCATAGGGTGCTGGGAACCTATTCTGACCTAGAATCCACTTGTGGAGACAGGCATGGGGTGCTGGAAACCTATTCTGATCTAGAATCCACTTGTGGAGACAGGCATAAGGTGCTGAGAACCTATTCTAATCTAGAATCCACTTGTGGAGAC